TTATTATTATTTTCCCCCATTATAAAGAACATCTGAAGTATAGTACTGTAGCATGGAGGAAACTATTACCCTAGTAGTAATATTTCCTTTGGTTACTAACTCACCCTAAGCTGTCTCACAGGTTTATTATAACTGATAGCCAAACTTCAGACCAAAATATTGAGGGGGAAGGAGACCCAAGCAAAGGCATTAGGGTCCTCCTCAAACACTGGAGACCTTCACCCACTACCTAAAGCGTCATTTACTCTCTGTATTAGCAAAAAATCTCCTCATCTACTTTATCATCAGTTACCTACAAAGGGGAGGGGGTGAGGGAAGGGGTAGGGGTAGGAGGAGAGGGGGAGGCATTTTAAATGTTACGCGGTTTAGAGAGAAGTAAAGTAAACCTCACATGAATGAGATTAGATTAAAAAAAACTAAGAAAAAAATATCATTCACGGTTGAAAAAGTTCACAGGAATGACCGAACAACAACAAAAATGGAAGTGATTTTTTTTTACACTGCACACAAAAGCTCGTAGTTGAGGGACACCAACTAAGGAGCTGTAGACTGCACCTGTGTCGTTTACCTGCCGACCAAAAAGTGGCCAGAATGACATAGAAATAAACCTTCAAAGTAAGAGCAGAGGTGGACAGTAAAAATCTCTGATGGAAATTGGGCAAATAATGGACCAAAGTACACACATACTTTCGGTCGACGCCTCGAAGTGGGTATGAAAGGCTTCGACCTGAGGAGACCAACACGAGTGACGGCTGGAGGGGCGTCTGTCTGCCACCAGCTGGGGAGGGAGAGTCAGGGGGCCCTATAAGATGAACAACTCAAGCACACACACACACACACACACACACACACACACACACACACTGAGAGTCTCGTGCCGCTGTACTGCAAATATAAAATGTTCGTACCCACAATGTTGACTGAGAAGTGTAGTATAGTGTAGGACTTGCCTGCCCTCACCAGCCGAGGCAGACTCCCACCTCCTGACAACACAACATGACGCCCGCCACTGTGTACTCACTTAACACTTGATTTCTTATACATCTCTGAGGTAAAAATCCCTGTGAATGCTTCTTCAATAAGAGGAGTCATGTCCTGTTAAGAAAAATTTCCAACAAAATACCTTTTATATTCTTGTTTTTGTTTTGTTATGTGACGTATGAAGCAGCAGCAGATTTGACCTTTTTGATTATTTGCCTCAATTTCACATGGGACCATTTACCCGATCAACACTAAGAACGGAACAAATCATAGTTAGTCTTCTCAGCACAACTACGTACAACTCACATCGGATAGATAAAAAAAGCATATTATATTTCTATGGAAGAATAATGGCTTTCAATAGTATCTCTAAAAGGGTTCATCAGCACAGTAGTTTGGCGAATTGTGTCATCTATGATTATGACGAAAATATACGTTCATATATACATACATGTATATGTATATGGGACCATTTTCACATCACCAAAACACAAGGAACAGTTCACATCGAAGCGAGATAAAGATTGACAACAGCAAAACACACTTGGTTGTGAATTTTTAAGAAGAGAAAGTATTTGAACGTTTATCATAGTGCAGGAGATGACGGAGTACAGTAGTTAGTCTCTTGCTATGACGAGGAAAAGGATTGAACTCCATTACTCTTCCTTTACAATACGTCTATGCATCTCTCCAGCGACCGGGCTGTTCAACCAGTAGGAAACTTGACAACAAGTACAAGTTGTAAGATGAGACAAAACAAGACCTTACATTCATTTACAAGAACAGTGACTTACTAAGATTAATTATCCATATGGAATAACATCATCTTCATTTATTTTTTTTGTTTTTTTGTTTGTTTTTTTGTTTGTTTCTTTAAGTATCCTGAAATAGGCTTTTCTAAATCAGTTTATATGGACTTCTGTTTACATCTACGACATATTGCACACTGCTGGGGGGGGGCGCTGTTATGTACACACACACACACACACACACACACGTCTCTCCATTAAAGAGTGTCTCTCAGTATCTCACAGCTCGACTAATATTATCGTCACCTGTCTTGGGGTTCAGTATATATAGTATTACCAAGTCTGTACTATAGCTCTCAACAAAATATTTCTCATACCATTATCTCTCAGGAATTATAGGTCTTAGGTGGGGGGGTAGGGGGGTAGATGATCGCCCTCCTGAGAAACATTCACAGAAAATTAATGCTCATGTGTGTTTGTGTGTGTGTTTGGTTCTCATACGTCACTGAGGAAAGTCAAATGGAGTTTCAAAAATCTCTCTTAATTATCTCCCAACATCCCTGAGAGACTATAAACACATTGTGGTCTCTGTCTCTTACATAGCAAACATATAACAAATATATATTAGGTCATATATCTATCGTCAATTACACACGATATAAAAACTAACCCCAAAAATTATCTATTAAAAATCCTCATTCCTAGGTTAAATAAGACTTGATTTTAGTTACTGATCCAAGTATAGGAGTAAACTTAATCCCTGTTAATATAGAGAAGACTTAAAGTGTACAACTGAGGATATTCACGATGACAATTATCTAAATACCCTTGAATATTCATATTATTCATTCATAATTTTTACTGAAACCAAATATTATTAATTTGTCTTTAATTTTATTCATTTTTTATTATTATTATCGAATATTTTGTCGTGTATATTTTTTGGTATTTAACTGAGATAAGAAAATGTAACGTAATAATAAGATTTTTTTGCTTAGGAGATGAATGATTTGATAAAGAGAGTATTCAGGTGAAAGTTTTCCTCTGTTCTAACTCTCTCTCTCTCTCTCTCTAACTTTCCCTGACTTTCTCTGATTTTTCCTGGCGTTTTCTGACGTTTCCTGACTTTCCCGACTGATAAAGAGAGTATTCAGGTGAAAACTCTCCTCAGTCCTAACTCTCTCTGACTTTCCCTGACTTTCTCTGATTTCCTGACTTTTTTTTTACTTTCTGACTTTCCCTGACTACCAAACACCATTTCTGTGACGGCTGGAGGACCTGGCGATCACGTTGTATGTATGTATGAATGTATGTATGTGTGTATGTATGTATGTATGTATGTAGATGTACGTGTGCGTGTGTGTGTGTGTGTCTGTCAGGAGGCCGAACCTTCCCCCAATAAGCAGTAACAACAACATTTTACTGTAGAAGAGATTACATCACATCACAGTCGAGGTCTTATACCTCTAATACTGTATGATATATATATATATTTATTTATATATATATATGTATATTTGTATGTATGCATATCCTGGATAAATCATAGCATTAAATAACTAATAACAACGAACAATGAACCAAATTAGTGCCTCGTTTAGAGAGGTGTAACATAAAGTCAACAATTATTTCCTAAGTGATGTGTCTGTCACCATCAGTAGAGCCATCACTCGAGAGGCTACCGGCTGCTAGCGTATAAACTCCTAACTAACCACTAGTCACAACAAAAGTCTCTCGTAGAAAATTGAGGAATCATCACTGCATCACTAGTTAACTAGAAAGCCAAATTAAATTGGTAACTTTTTTCTTTTTAAAAATACTCTACTGTATGTCATCCTTTCCAATGTTTAAAATTTTCTGAGAACTTCATTGAAGTCAAAGTTTAAGGTAATATATTATATATAGGGTACTAGTAATAATATATACGATGCGGGGCATATAAATAATAAAAAAAATAATCACAAGAAAAAAGGTACAACACGATACACCGCAGCTGAGGACGCCAACTGTGACGCTAACACAAGTTGTACAAAGTAACTTACGGGTTATATTAAGCTGCTTGATGTCATTTTTCAGTGTATAAGAACATCACTGCCTTAGTCAATATTATCAATTAGAAACACAATGAGTGACACTTAACAGCCAATAATCACCAAATTGGTATATACAGTGATACAAAAACCCTCACCCTAGCCGTCCCTGGTCCTTATGTCCACCTGGCTCTCAACACCACAGTCCATAGATACACTGCCAAAAGGGTTTCTTCATCTTCTTCCCATTAAAACACTCCAGCTGAAGGTTGAAGTCACAGTAACACTTCTCACGAGGGTTGGAGAGGGCTGGCTTGTCCACCATTCACTTTGTCCAAAACAACTTACACTGTCTCTCTCTTTCTTTCTTTCTTTCTTTCTCTTTTTCTTTCTCTCTTTGTCTTTTTCTTTCTCGTTCTGTTTCTGTTTCTCCTTCTTTTTCTCTTTGTCTTTCCTTTCCTTTCCTCCACACACCAACACTGAACATTACAGAGTTCAAAGAAGAAGATTTGTTTCTCGTCTTCTGAACATAGTGAACGCAGAACTCTCCCACAATGACTGCAGGTTAAGTGTATATACTGTAGTGTCGGCTCTCTCACCTGACCAACACCCTCTATTTCTGTCGTAATCACTGGAGATATCTCTACGGACTCTATGCTTTGAGAACGATAAAAGAAAGAAAAAAACCTTCTCCCTCTTTCTCTCTTTCTTTCTTTCTTTCTTTCTACTCCTTCGCTGTTCAATACGTGACAGACAGACAGACAGACAGACAGACAGACACAACAAATTTACCAACGCTTACCCTCCCTATACTTGATCACTGCCCCTCACTCTCTCTCTCTCTCTCTCTCTCTCTCTTTCTCTTTCTCACTCTCTCTCTCTCTCTCTCTCTCTCTCTCTCTCTCTCTCTCTCTCTCTCTCTCTCTGCACTCGCTAAGAAAATCACAACATTATTTACATCTAAGAAAAGAGGAAAGGTCCCCCCCCTATTGAAAGATATTAGTAATCAAATTTCACAAGAAAATTCGTATCGGGTTCCACAGTTGTTCACGGCAGTTCCTCGTCATCATCTTCTCAACAGTTCAGAAACAAATGAAATAAGCTTTCATAACACTTTTTTTTTTTTTACACTTTCGACCATTCTGGCTTTCTCTTTCTCTTTCTCTATATCTTTCTCTTTCTCTTTCTCTATATCTTTCTCTTTCTCAATACTTTCTCTTTCTCTTTCTCTATAACTTTCTCTTTCTGCATATCTTTCTCTTTCTCTTTCTCTATATCTTTCTCTTTCTCTTCGTCTTTCTCTCTTACTCTTTCTTTCTTTCTCTCTTCGTTTCCTTCTCCTTGATCACAATATAGACCAATGATTATATAGTTTCAAAAAAATAATAATAAGATAAATTCATAATGAGAGACAGATGAAAATAAAGAACTTCACTTGATTTCCATTTTGTTATTGTTTATGCTTTGTTTTCTTTTTCATGGCTGCGTTTTCTTCACTATTCAGACTTGCCCCAACTATCACGACCTAAGACGCTGGGTGTTGAAGGTGTGTGCCAACAGGAGTAGTGTAGCTAGAGCCAGGGAAGGTACACTAAGAGCTCCTGCACCACCACACAGCGTAATCTCATGTTCCTGAAGGTTAACAAATCAAAATTAAAATTAAGTCAGAGAAAAAAAAATCGTATAATAACAATATCTCGTGTAGCCAAATTTAATGTGATTTATTTTGCGAGATGGAAAAAAAATTTTTAACTTAGTTTTAACAAGAATATATTGTTTTTAACTTACTTTGAAGAGTATTTTTTTATTTATTTTTTAACACAATCTCTTTTTCTAATTCAATCTTTCCATCTGGATTTCGATACGAGTTATGAACAAGAAAAAGGGGAGGGGAAGTCAAGGCCAGTGAAGGGGGGGTGTTCGTAGGGAAAAATATTTCTACAGCGTAAATTCATCTACATTTATCTACAAAAACTAAATCGATTATAATTTACTAGTTTACTTAATGAATGTCCTTCATTACATAAAGTAAAGAGATCTAATTTTAATGAGGAAATAATATTAAAAGTAATAATAGTAATAGTTTAATAAGGTAAAAATAGTATCCCTTACCTCAGGGTGATAATAGTATTCCTTACCTCAGGGTGATAATAGTATCCCTTACCTCAGGGTGATAATAGTATTCCTTACCTCAGGGTGATAATAGTATCCCTTACCTCAGGGTGATAATAGTATTCCTTACCTCAGGGTGATAATAGTATCCCTTACCTCAGGGTGATAATTGATACATTTCTCGGGCCGTTTCCGGAAGTGTTGAAGAAGGAGTCGGTTACAGTGCATCGTCTCGTTGTAATCCACCTCTACCGGTTCAATATCCACCTTCCTCGACTCACAAGGACATAAGTTGTTGACAGCCACGAGGATCAGGTTGGTTGAGATCACCTTCTGTACGCTGAAGGGCCTGGTGACGGAGGGGAAGAAGGAGGAGGAGGTTTTGAGGGTGATATGGCCAGCTTAAGCTTTATAGGGTTAGTGTGTTCATCCTCTTTGTGTCTGGTCGTATAAAATGGGATTTTTTAAGGGATATATTAAAATGTGTGGTTATTTTTCACTTAAACCTACCTTAACCTAATCTAACCTCACTTAAACCTACCGTACCCTAATTTAACCCCATTTGAACTTACCTTAACCTAATCTAACCTCACTTAAACCTACTTTAACTTAATCTAACCTCACTTAAACCTACCGTACCCTAATTTAACCCCATTTGAACTTACCTTGACCTAATCTGACCTCACTTAAACCTACCTTACCCTAATCTAACCTCACTTAAGCCTACCTTACTCTAATCTAACCTCACTTAAACCTACCTTACCCTAATCTAACCTCACTTAAGCCTACCTTACTCTAATCTAACCTCACTTAAACCTACCTTACCCTAATCTAACCTCACTTAAACCAACCTTAAACTAACCTAACCTAATGTAACCTAGACCTCACCTGATACCCCTCCCATCACACCCTACTTCACCTGATTGCTCTATACAACACCTTAACATATATAATTAACTCACCTGCCGCAGCCGTTAGTATGACAATTGGACAGCTTCGCCTTAAGTGGTTTATATTCGCCATTTTGTAGTAGATTTTCATTCTGTAGTTTGTATAAGTAAACTTCTTTATCACAAGGTCGTGGGTGTGTTTTGTTAATCCTCGCCATCTGTTGGGGAAAAAAATCAATATCTGGCAATCAAACATTTCGCCGAATTCTAAACTATGGGAAAGAAATTATAGATCTGTTTGTTAGAGATAATTATACTCTGTAGATTATAGCGATATATATATAATGCCATAATACTAGAACTGATTAGTTAAGGTCAGTTAATAGGGTAGTTAAGGTAGCTAAGGATCAAAGATGGTGGAGAGTTATAGGGGCAGTGTATCAGTTCAGTTCTAATAGAGTTAAGGTTTAATAGGGTTACGGACTTGAGGGTTATGGGTAAAGGGGTGTTATGTGACTATATAAACCCGCATCAACGTGGAAACTACTCAAATCTTTAACATGTACAGTAAAGAAGAACTTATAAATTACTCTCATCTATTTATTAAACAAAAGCCACCCAATAAATGCTTAACTATTTTCTAAAACAAAAACTATCACAGTTACGTAAACCTACAAATAAACAATGTCTTTTGTTAATGAGGAGGTAAACTCAGGTGTGATGTGAGAAAGAGAAATAAGCATTACCTGAACTAATCTATTCTAAATAAAAGCCATTAAACATATCTATCTAAAACAAAAAAAAAGTACACATATACATCAAGATATCATTCTTAACTAACATAACTAACACTATCATTCTTATCTAACATAACTAACACTATCATTCTTAACTAACATAACTAACACTATCATTCTTAACTAACATAACTAACACTATCATTCTTAACTAACATAACTAACACTATCATTCTTAACTAACATAACTAACACTATCATTCTTAACTAACATAACTAACACTATCATTCTTAACTAACATAACTAACACTATCATTCTTAACTAACATAACTAACACTATCATTCTTAACTAACATAACTAACACTATCATTCTTAACTAACATAACTAACACTATCATTCTTAACTAACATAACTAACACTATCATTCTTAACTAACATAACTAACACTATCATTCTTAACTAACATAACTAACACTATCATTCTTAACTAACATAACTAACACTATCATTCTTAACTAACATAACTAACACTATCATTCTTAACTAACATAACTAACACTATCATTCTTAACTAACATAACTAACACTATCATTCTTAACTAACATAACTAACACTATCATTCTTAACTAACATAACTAACACTATCATTCTCATCTTTAGCTGTGAGTTTAATCTCCAGCAACACCCTTCTTATACCACAGATTCACAAAGGTTCTTAAGTTGAGTATTTCCATATAATTACTAAGGCTGAGAATGTATTCCTATAACTAGTTGACTTTAGATAGGACATAGATTATAGAAGCTGACTTGAAGTTAAATTATAATGGTAAAAAAAAACCCACATAGGCCTATATAACAAATACCATAGGTGTACCTCATTTTAATCAACCTATTGAAAAAAGTCTTAGCATCTAATTCTTCAAAAAATAAGACAAACAGTTGTATTAATCTCTAAAGCCTTATAGATGGTGTTTATGATCATGATGCTTATCTGGCTACACTGTCTTATCCTCCCATCGTAGTTCTAACCCATATCTGGCTACACTGTCTTAGAGAAGTTATATATTGTACTGAGTGTCCTTTCGTGATGTGGTAATAAACTTATTTAATCCCCCTATGAATATATATAATAGGTGTTTTCGAAGTTCCTTGGTGGATTTACAAAGTCTCTTGATGTTTGTGTCTACAGATTCCCTTGATGTTTGTGTTTAGAGAGTCCCCTGGTGTTTGTGTTTACAGAGTCCCCTGGTGTTTGTGTTTACAGAGTCTCCCGGTGTTTGTGTTTACAGAGTCCCCCGGTGTTTGTGTTTACAGAGTCTCCTGGTGTTTGTGTTTACAGAGTCCCCCGGTGTTGTGTTCCCTGGTGTTTGTGTTTACAGAGTCCCCTGGTGTTTGTGTTTACAGAGTCCCCTGGTGTTTGTGTTTACAGAGTCCCCTGGTGTTTGTGTTTACAGAGTCTCCCGGTGTTTGTGTTTACAGAGTCCCCTGGTGTTTGTGTTTACAGAGTCCCCTGGTGTTTGTGTTTACAGAGTCTCCCGGTGTTTGTGTTTACAGAGTCTCCCGGTGTTTGTGTTTACAGAGTCTCCTGGTGTTTGTGTTTACAGAGAACCGACAGAGGGTGTTTGGCAGGCCTCAACATAAACATTTAGTCTACAGTTTATGTCACACAAGAAAACAAGATGAGTAAATTCTTACCTAATTAACCACATTATTATAATAAATTTCAAATATTTTTTAGAATTCTTAAAGTATTTTTCGTTAAGATTTTTTTTAGACAATAAATGTTTGACAAAATCTATATCTAATACTATATTTTTAAAGAAACTGCAAATAGAATAAAAAAATCTATTTAAATTTGATCCAACATGCATGAAACACGATGCGGGAGAAAGAAATATTACTAAGAAACTATCTACGCAGACTACCGCACAAGCTAGAGGGCAAACCACAGGTAATAGTAAAAGTAGTACAGGTAATAGTAATAGCAGTATTACCCACAGGTAACCAAAAAGCCGAACTTTCGTGCCAGCCAGTCAACCAGCCAGAGTAAAACAGTGCCCCACTACCACTCATGAAGATGCAGAAAACCCCAGAAAAAGGCCAACAAAAAAAGGCCAAAAAAGGTAAATACAGAGAAAAATTCAAGGCTGCATGTGGACCACCCATTGGGTTTTGTTGTGATAAGGACTTAGTTTTATCCTAACATGAGTGAAGGAATGGTCAAACATTCTCATAATTGCTGCAGGAATAGTTAAACGTTCTCATAATTGCTGCAAGAATAGTTAAACGTTCTCATAACTTCCGCAGGAATGGTTAGACGTTCTCATAATTGCTGCAGGAATAGTTAAACGTTCTCATAATTGCTGCAAGAATAGTTAAACGTTCTCATAATTGCTGCAGGAATAGTTAAACGTTCTTATAATTGCTGCAGGAATAGTTAAACGTTCTCATAATTGCTGCAGGAATAGTTAAACGTTCTTATAATTGCTGCAGGAATAGTTAACCGTTCTCATAATAACTGCAAGAATAGTTAAACGTTCTTATAATTGCCGCAGGAAGGTTAAACGTTTTTATAACTGCCGCAGGAAGGTTAAACGTTTTCATAACTGCCACAGGAAGGTTAAACGTTATCATAACTGCCGCAGGAATAGTTAAACGTTCTCATAATTGCTGCAGGAATAGTTAAACGTTTTCATAATTGCCGCAGGAATAGTTAAACGTTCTCATAATTGCTGCAGAAAAGTTAAACGTTCTCATAATTGCCGCAGGAATAGCTAAACGTTCTCATAATTGTTGCAGGAATAGTTAAACGTTCTTATAATTGCTGCAGAAAAGTTAAACGTTCTCATAATTGCTGCAGGAATAGTTAAACGTTCTCATAATTGCTGCAGGAATAGTTAAACGTTTTCATAATTGCTGCAGGAAGGTTAAACGTTTTCATAACTGCCGCAGGAAGGTTAAACGTTCTCATAACTGCCACAGGAAGGTTAAACGTTTTCATAACTGCCGCAGGAAGGTTAAACGTTTTCATAACTGCCGCAGGAAGGTTAAACGTTTTCATAACTGCCGCAGGAAGGTTAAACGTTCTCATAACTGCCACAGGAAGGTTAAACGTTTTCATAACTGCCGCAGGAAGGTTAAACGTTTTCATAACTGCCGCAGGAAGGTTAAACGTTTTCATAACTGCCGCAGGAAGGTTAAACGTTTTCATAACTGCAGCAGGAAGGTTAAACGTTTTCATAACTGCCGCAGGAAGGTTAAACGTTTTCATAACTGCAGCAGGAAGGTTAAACGTTTTCATAACTGCCGCAGGAAGGTTAAACGTTTTCATAACTGCCGCAGGAACCTCTAGCAGCAAAACATCCAAAGTAAACAAACAGATCCCCCGATGAGGACCACTTAAGCAAGTCGGCCAATGTTACAACTGACTGAATTATTTATGTATTTGTATCTGTAATTCTTTCACCATCTTTAGGGGGGGGGGTGAGGAGGGGGAAGAGTAAGAAGAGGAGAAGGAGGTGCAGGAGAAGAAGGAGATATCTCTGAACTGCAGTAGAAAACTTAAAAGAAAATGGGCTTTGACTACAGCCTTGACTGCTCTGTATCTGACAGTTTTAGAAAATATTAGTTTTAATTGCACAGTCAGTGTCCTGCTGAATGTACATGACGCATTCCTGAAAATCTGTACATTAGGTGGATGTACATAAAATGGATGTAAGTTTAAGTAGAAGTATGTTAAGCGGATGTAACGTTAAGAGGATGTAATGAATGAATGTTAACTGAATGTACAGATGCCCACATTTCCACCTGATACAGTTAGAGTTGCTAATCCTCTCTCCCCATGAAGTGTGAATCCAGAGAGTATCAAAGCATGATTCTGAAGCTCTCATGTGTGAGGTAGAGAGAGGGTCCGGGGGATGGGGGCGGGGGAGGGGAGTGTCACCCACTCACACACCAGCCCCCGTCACCCCCCAGACCCTCTCGCCCCCTCACTGTGAGTACTTCAGAATCATGTTTCGATACTCTCTGGGCTCACACATCATGGGGAGAGATAATTGGCATCTCTAACTGTACCAGGTGGAAATGTCAGCAACTGTACGTAAAACAAATGTACGTTAACTAGATATTTGTGAATCGAATGTCCAGTATATTCACCGAACACTGACTGTATGTTGCATCATCAGAACTTAGACATGTTGCATTGTCTAAAGAAATATAAATATATGTATATGTTGTATTGGGATTTGAAATGTTGCATCAATATTCAAACATGTTGCATAAGGAGTTAAACATTTGGCAATAAGGCTTACATTCTAGCATTATTACTTAAATATGTAACATCGATACTTAAATAAGATGTTACATATAAACTTATAAACAAATTAAACCAATAAGTAACACTAGATTACTTAAATACTACTTTTGTAAGTTGAAGAACGGGGCTAAAGCCTTCCTTGCCTGTAAGTGCCATATGCTATTGTAAGTTAAATAAAAAAAAAATAAATAAAACAATTATTACATCATCACATTCTTACTCTCATCATCGGCATTTGGTCACTGAGGATGGTAGAAGAATGGAGACCTGGATAAAATCGGTGATAAAAAGAGAATAAATAATAATGCGAAAGAAACACAAGAAGAAGCGAGTAACAGACCAGCAACAAGAGAGAGAGAAAAATAAAATAAAATAAAGCTGAAGAAGAAGGAATAATGAGACGTACTTCAATAGGTATTTCTGTAGTAGTGGTAAGTTCAGGGATTTCAGTGGTCTACACAGTACCGTCCACATACAGGAGCAACACACAGACAGCAGAGTGGGAGTCACAATGTCACATCGTTAATAAGGAACATATATAGCGTAGAGACAAGGAGGGTCATAACAAGAACACTAGGGGGGGTGGTGACTGGTGGGGGGGAGCAGGTTGGTAGTGAACAGTTGAACAGGTTATGAACACTGATCGGTTATACAAAGTTCACTAAGGCTCCCTGGTTCATGCACTGTTATTGTTCTGGCCTGTGTTTTATATATATATATATATATATATATATATATATATATATATATATATATATGTATATATATATATATTTAACATGTTATACTAAATAGGGACGTTTGTCGATTGGTGATAACTATTTATGTATTTTCATTTTTGAAAACCTTCTGTCTAGCCATAAACGATCATGAGAATACAAATAAATGAATAGTTTCATACATAACCTAACCTAACCATTATTATCTGGTAACGGGGAAAGTTTCGTTAGGTTAGGTTAGGTTAGGTTAGGTTAGACTTCTTATGAAACCATTTATATGTACCATGGTGACTACATAAGCATCTGTAACCAATTATAACTATAAAAACAAACACAGAAAGACAAAACTAAAATAAATACATAGAAATTATCGCTATTTAGTATAACATATATAATTTTAATTCTTATTATTAATATTATTATTATTTCTACACGACAATGAATCATAACACAATTCTTTAAAGTTCTCAACGCTGTGACAGTAAGCATACTCCCTAACTACCTCGTGGTATAGTTAATAAACCAACCAATCACAGACCAGCTCTATTTGGGGTTAGGTTAGGTTAGGTTAGGTTAGGTTAGGTTAGGTTGGCAGCTCTTAACAATGCATCGGTAACTCTGTCAACTATTAATGACGTCATGAGTTAAGGTCACCTGTATAGAGCTGGTCTGTGATTGGTCGACCTTGATACTGTACCTGGAGGTCATTTCAGGTTACATACTGGCGGTACAAAACCAATCCACAAAAGACATTCCTATAATGTGGTTATATGTGGCCAAACTTACCATCTAGCATTCTCATTGGCTCATTCATCATATAGGAGCATTCTCATTGGCTCAATCAGCACAGGACAAATTCAGCCGTCAGAAAAAAAATATCAAGTGGAAATAGAAAGTTATATAGTGAAAGTTTGTAGATAAATTAAGTTGAAAATATATATGAGGGAAATGTGAGGGGTGGGAAGGGAGGTGAGGAGGGGTGGGGAGGGGGAAGGGGTGGGGTGAGAGGTGGGAGGGGAAGGTGAGGTGGGAGGGAAGGTGGGGAGGGGTGGGAGGGGAAGGTGAGGGGTGGGAGGGGAAGGTGAGGGGAGGGGGAAGGCAGAGGGGTGGGAGGGGAAGATGGGAGGGGGGGGAGGGGGTGAGGGGAGAGGGGTGGGGAGGGTGAGAGGTGGGGAGGGGAAGGGAGGGGTGGGGAGGGGGGAGGGGGGAGGGGAAGGTGAGGGGTGGAGGGGGAAGGGGGTGGGAGGGGAAGATGAGGGTGGGAGGGAAGGTGAGGGTGGGGGGGAAGGTGAGGGGTGGAAGGGGGGTGGGAGGGGTGGAGGGGAAGAGGGGGTGGGAGGAGGGGGTGGGGAGGGGAAGGTGAGGGGTGGGAGGAAGGGGAGGTGGGAGGGAAGGTGAGGAGGGAAGATGAAGGTGGGAGGGAAGAGAGGGGTGGGAGGAGAAGGTGAGAGGTAGGAGGGGAAGGGGAGGGGTGGGGAGGAGAAGGTGAAAGGGGGAGGGGAAGAGGGGTGGGAGGAGAAGGTGAGGCGTGGGGAGGGGAAGGTGAGGGGTGGAAGCAGAGGGAGAAGGCAGGAAGGTGAGGGGTGGAGGGGGGAGGGAAGGAGGGGTGGAGGGAAAGGTGAGGGGTGGGGAGGGAAGGGTGAGGGGTGGGAGGAGAAGGTGAGAGGTGGGAGGGAAGGGGTGGAAGGGAAGGTGGAGGGGTGGGAGGGGAAGGTGAGGGGTGGGAAGGGTGAGGGGTGGGAGGGAAGGTGAGGGGTGGAAGGAAGGTGGAGGGGTGGGAGGAAGGTGAGGGGTGGAAGGGGAAGGTGAGGTGAGGGGTGGAAAGGGGAAGGTGAGGGGTGGGAGGGAGGGGTGGTAAAGAAAGATGAGGTGGGAGAGAAATGTGAAGTGGGGGTAAAGGGGGGGGGGAAGATGGGAGAGAAAGGTTAGGTAATAAGTAAGAGTAATGATAAAAAGAAGGAGGGAAGGATGGAAAGGTAACGTAGAGAAGAAAGGAGATAGATAAATGGAAGAAGATGGTTAAAAGGAATCCAGATTAGACAAAAATAATCCATTACTGTATTTGAATTTCTGTCCCATCATCTCCCCCTCCCCCCCCCAAAAAAAAAACACGATGGCAGATAATGAAAGACAGAAATAAAGAAATACAGTAAATGAAAAAAAAATAAATAAAATGAAGGAAATAACAGATAAGAAGAATCATACCAGACAGAGAAATGAGAGATTGAAAGGTTAAAAAACACAATACAAGAGTTAAAGTTTTTTTTTTTCTGGCCTTACCGATATGCTGGGAAAGTCACCATCTTCTTCAATGTATGGACCTTCGTAGTCTGGGGGCATTTGGTCATCAGGGTGAACACCTGTGAGGGAGAGTGAGAGGGAGTGAGAGAGAGTGAGGCAGAATGAGAGAGTGAGGCAGAATGAGAGAGAGTGAGGAATGATACAAGAGCAATTATATAATGAGATTAAATATATATATATACTGTATATTTATGTATGTATGTATGTATGTACAGGTATATATTGCCGATACAAACATATACACACAATCATCCCAAAACTTGCAGCAATGAAAAGTAATAATATTGGTAACGTATTTATCAATTATATAACAACCATAATATGAGTAGGTGTACATGTGTGTGTGTGTGTGTGTGTGTGAGTTAAAGGTCACAACAGATAGAATATATCCCTCATAACATAACAACAGACACTGATTATATTATTCAACCTTTAAATAGAAACAAAACATTTTATCAACATTACTTCACTTTGGGTAACAACTTATATTAATCAAAGCGAAAAACGTATATGTTTAGTTAAGAGTCAGTACTCAGCTCAATGTTTACGTCACAGTGATGAGCAAAACAGAGTCAAGCAAATCTGGATAATGGATAGGTGTAATGGACAATTTCCTCAGGTTAGTTAATGGATAGGTGTAATGGTCACTTTCTTCAGGTTAGTTATTGGATAGGTGTAATGGTCACTTTCCTCAGGTTAGTTAATGGATAGGTGTAATGGTCACTTTCCCCAGGTTAGTTATTGGATAGGTGTAATGGTCACTTTCCTCAGGTTAGTTAATGGATAGGTGTAATGGTCACTTTCCTCAGGTTAGTTAATGGATAGGTGTAATGGTCACTTTCCTCAGGTTAGTTAATGGATAGGTGTAACGGTCACCATCCACAGGTATAGTTCAGGTGTTAATGCTAAACACAATACGGCAAGATCAAATTGTGTCAGCTAAGGTAATTAGTTACGACAAACACTTGGACGACTTCGACACACCCACACACACACACACACACACACACACACACACAAACACACATACACTAGGTCCTTCACGATTAGATGGAGGGCTCCAGGCTCCTTAGATCACGGTATTAAATGAGACCCACAAATGGAAACACAACAACAGAGTTTATAAAAGGATTCTGACTTCCCTTAGATGGATGACCAAGGAAAATGACATCTTTTCCCTCACTTGTAGATGGAAAATGACATCTTTTCTGACACTTGTGGATAGAAAATTGGCATCCATTTGTGGGTTGAAATTTATACGTGGTGAGGTGGTGGTAGTTAGGCCATCTTGTCACCAGCTTAACTACAACACTTGGTTCATGTTAGGTTAAAGACGATGGTGAGTTAGTGTGGGTCACTGGAACACAAGTCACTCTAGTAGGGGTAAGAGAGAGAGAGAGAGAGAGAGAGAGAGAGAGAGAGAGAGAGAGAGAGAGAGAGAGTATGGTTGAAAACATAAGGAGTAAAAGACACTGAGAGATAGAAAGAGCAAAAAGAGAAAGTGAGGGAGAGAGAAAGAGAGAGAGACAGACAGACAGACAGAAAGATAGATAGATAGATAGATATATAGGTAGATAGATAGATAGATAGATAGATAGATGGATGGATAGATAGATAGACAGACAGTCAGACAGCTAGATAGATAGATAGAAAGAGCAAATAAAGATAGTGAGAGAGAGAGGGAGAGTATAATAGAAATAAAGAGCGAAAAAGACAGTTAGTTAGAGAGAGAGAGAGAGAGAGAGAGAGAGAGAGAGAGAGAGAGAGAGAGAGAGAGAGAGAATAACTTAAAAATAATGAGTAGAAGAGACAATAAGAAATAGAGAAATGGAAATAAACCCCCAAAAAAGTGAGAATCGAAGAGAAAATAAAGTAAATTAACCATAGAAAACGGGAATATTAGACAGAGGGGAGGGGGCACTGCATCAAATGGTCATCTACCGTCAACATCGTAATATATTGCATCCAGGACGTCAGAGTACTCAGCCAAAATATCTTCCTCCTCCACGCCATCTTCAGTCTCATTCCCTGTGAGAAACATTACAGATGAGACACATAACGTCTTGATGATGAGACATGCACGCCAAAATAATAAGAGACAAGGGAGATACGCCAGGATGATGTTGAGAGACACAGGTGAGACACACGCCAGGATGATGATGAGACACAGGTGAGACACACGCCAGGATGATGATGAGACACAGGTGAGACACACGCCAGGATGATGATGAGACACGGGTGAGACACGCCAGATGATGATGAGACACGGTGAAACACACGCTTAGATGATGATGAGACACAGGTGAGACACACGCCAGGATGATGATGAGACACAGGTGGAGACACACGCCAGGATGATGATGAGACAAAGGTGAGACACACGCCAGTATGATGATGGAGAGACACGGGTGAAACACACGCCAGGATGATGATGAGACACAGGTGAGACACACGCCAGGATGATGATGACAAAGGTGAGACACACGCCAGGATGATGATGAGACACAGGTGAGACACACGCCAGGATCATGAGAGACACAGGTGAGACACACGCCAGGATGATGAGAGACACAGGTGAGACACACGCCATGATGAGACACAGGTTAGACACACGCCGAGATGAGACACAGGTGAGACACACGCATGATGAGACACAGGTGAAACACACGCCATGATGAGACACAGGTGAGACACACGCCAAGATGATGATGAGACACAGGGTGAGAAACACGCCATGATGAGACACAGGTAAGACACACACAGGTGAGACAGACGCCGTGATGAAACACAGGTGAGACACGCCATGATGAGACACAGGTGAGAGATACACCATGATGAGACACAGGTGAGACACACGCTATGATGAGACACAGGTGAGACACACGCCATGATGAGACACAGGTGAGACACACGCCATGATGAGACACAGGTGAGACACATGCCGTGATGAAACATGTGAGACACACGCCATGATGAGACACAGGTGAGACACACGCCATGATGAGACACAGAGACACATGCCATGATGACACAGGTGAGACAGATGAGACACAGGTGAGACACACATGAGACACAGGAGACACACCATGATGAGACACAGGTGAGACACACGCCATGATGAGACACAGGTGAGACACACAATGATGGAAACACAGGTGAGACACACGCCGTGATGAAACACAGGTGAGACACACGCCATGATGAGACGCAGGTGAGACACATACCATGATGAGACACAGGTGAGACACACGCCATGATGAGACACAGGTGAGACACACAAACATGAGAGAAATACAAAAGTATCTGAGAATAATAAACATCAATTACAATTTTACTTACAAAACTTAACTTGAGAATTAAATAAGAATTACTTAAATATAATAATAAAGAAGAAACATTACTTATTTAATATAAACATTCAGATAAACTGACATAATATAATACGAATAAAATAATGACAGAAAGATAAAGAGCGACTAAAAAATATTGATTTTTTATAATAATTGATGTAAAAAATGACTTACTGAATACGTTAAAAAATTAGGCAAAAAAGTGTGTAATGAAATCAGTAATTAAGTATATATATGATACACTTATAAAAGTAATTAGTGCTTAGTTGGACTTACTATACTGAGAGGGCTTATGCTTTAATTAAAACTGTAGTAGTAGTAGCCGCAGATATTGACTATGAGGCTACTGTCACTGAATGCCGCATGGATCTGCGGCTCAACTAATTTAACACAGATAGGATAGCTACTTATGTATTAGGATATTTAATATTAAGGTAATTAAATGGTGGCGAAGGTGTGGCTATTGGGGGAGGCTGGAGGCCATTTTTGAAAAAAAAAAAAATAAGTAGTAGTGGTAGTAGTAGTAGTAGTAGTAGTAGTAGTAGTAGTAGTAGAAGTAGTTGTTGTTATTGTTCTTTAAATTCTGATACTATGGTAAATGTTTTGTTAAATGAATGGTGGTTATTATTATTATTATTATTATTATTATTATTATTATCATCGTTATTATTATTATTATTATTATTATTATTAATATCATTATTTTGTATTAATATTATTATTCCTATTATTATTATTTTTATTACTATTATTATTATTATTATTATTATTATCATTATTATTATTATTATTATTATTATTTTTATTATTATTAATATTATTATTATTATTATTATTATTATTATTATTATTATTATTATTATTATTATTATTATTAATATTATCATCATCGTTATTATTATTATTATTTTTTTTTTATCAGCTATTTCTCAACATTTTAATCTTACAACTGACTCAATTCTTCATCATCATTTTCCCTGAATATACTTTTATCTATTTTCTTAACCTTCTCTTCACATCAACACTCATTATCTTTGTCTCTGATGTTACCAAGTGTTTAGGAAATAGTGACCACACCTGTACGTCATCTGGGGAAAAAATAAACCTTGTGATAAGAAGAAAAAACTTGTTAAACCGAAGAAAAAACTTGTTAAACCAAGTATGAAGACAATGTAGCCTACGTCCATCCTCACTTTCTAAAAAAAAATTAAGTTGATCTTCTGTAGAATTTATTTTATTGGAAACAACGTAAATTTTAATCATAAAGATTAATTAATTTTTTGATAGCGTTTTTTCTCTGAGGCTTGTATATGTATATTGTATATGTATAAGTATACTGTATATGTATATGTATAACAATATAATACAGTAGAGACGTCACAGGTGCATCATTAACACACTATAACCAAACAAACACACAACACTAGGTGCCACAACACTTCAAAAATCATTACAACTCACAACCACAATCCCAGGCCACCTGAGAGTCGGTCAATATGATATCAAATTGTTAAAAAAGGTATTAAAAAAAACTAAAAAACCGGAAAAAGGTACAAATACGTCTTTTATACTGCAGATGGATTAGTTGAACAAAGGTACATAACAGAGGTGTTAATACAGACATACACTGAAACATCATACACATACAGCAATATACACACAACATACACCAAAAAATCCATGTATTTTAACACCTTAGATATGCAGTTATGATCATAATATATACACACAGTATCTATACACAGCCACAGACACCATATATGCAGTTACAACACACGTATCTACAACGCATGGTCCCAGCGCTACAGAGAACTACTGAGATGTATTCCTGTAGGAGGCTGTAGGAATCGTAGGAGGGAAGGGCTTGAAGGGGTTAAGGGGGAAGGGGAGTTACTGAGATGTATTCTTGTAGGAGGGAAGGAGAGAGGGGCTGAGGGAGGCGGGTAGGGAGTGTTAAAGAAAACCAGAAATTCCCTTTGTTGGTACAGTACTTTGAGGAACTTTTCTCCGGTGGCAATGGAACTTTTTCACCAAGACACTGTCAAGAGAATCAAGAGGACAGTCACGGGGCATTTGATTTTTTTTGCTTTTATTTTTATTTTTTGGTTCTTCAATCACGTAGAGTCATCAGGCAACACTCTATTGTCTTAAGATATCTTGCAAACAGCTGATGAACGAGTGAAGTCAGGCCACAAAAGATTCCAAACACGACTACCAACCATCTACATAGTTGTTCTCCTCCCCCTCCTCCTCCTCCTCCTCCTCCTGTTCAGTCCCTTCGCTTGACTCTGAGTCCTTATCGTCAGAGCCCTCTTGGCCGACGCCCTCTTGACTTGAACCTTCTTCACTTGAGCCCTCTTCACATGAGCCCTCTTCACCTAAGCCCTCTTCACCTGAGCCCCGATCACCAGAGCCCTCTTGACCTAAGTCCTCATCACCAGAGCCCTCTTGACCTGAGCCCTGATCACCAGCGCCCTCTTGACTTGAGTCCTGATCACCAGAGCCCTCTTGACCTGAGCCCTCCCTGCTTGACTCTGGGAAGCAACTCATTGTTATGGTGTAAGTAAAAGAGTTGAAGTTAAATGCGTCCCTCTTTGACTCCATCTTATTCCCTCTTCATCCCTCTTACTCCCTCTTATTTAAAGGTTGTTGACGTGTTGTTGTTTAATTGTGTGTTGAAGCCTCGTCTATTATCCAACTCCGGTCTGGTATCACTGGGATCGTATTCTGTTCTGGTAACACTGGATCTTTACTCCATTTTGGTAACATTGGGGGTCTTAAAATGCCCTGGTAATAATGGGTCTTACTCAGAGAAAGTTCATTATATACCAAGGGTCCGTTAAATGTGAAACCTCCATCTCATGAACTATATACAGTAGAGATAAAAGTCCGTTATATCGGGTATATATAGAGAGAATTCCGTTATATTGAGGTTTCACTGTACGTGGCATAGGAACTAAATTACAGTTTTGTGAAGGATTACAAAAATAACAGTCACGTTATTACATTGGGATTAATAACTAACCCGTATCACTTCATTAGACATAACACATAATTAATCGCTGTATATTAACTTACGAATTAATTAGATACTTTATCTTAATTCTAACATAGCATAGAGATATAAACGGCGCAGCTTATACATTATATAACCTGAAGTATAATAATATGTCATAGAATATCTAATAGATGTTTCTGTTGGAGTATATTTAATTATATTTTAGTTATATCTATATTTACAGGTGAAGTTAATTAATCTACTTTGAGTATATCTATAACTAGACGCACAAGAGTATAGGAAAATATATTAAGATTCATATATCGTTTAAACTATACATATGCAAAATGTAAACAATGGGACAGGTAAATTTGTCTAATTGTCAACAACTCACCTGTACAAAAATGGTTTATGATGCTGGAGAATTTGGTTTATTATTTAAGGGTTTTTAAGTTTATTAGAATATAATGTGTGTTAGTTAAAATATAAGTTAATTTAGGGTTACAATAGTAACCCAAAATTAACTTATATTATTATTGATAGGATTGATGCAAAGTAATTCAAAATTTTACTAAGTTAATATTTATGGTATTTTTAGTAATGTTAATCCTTAAACTGTGCAGGACAACCATTGTTTATATTCAACTTACTGTTATATAATTTAGCAAACAAGCAAACAACCCCCCCCCTCCCCCACAAAAAATAATAATTGTTTACCCTCACCAAAAGACACTGAGTGATATTATATATGTGAGAGTTATTAACCACAAATTATTCAACTCACAGGTAATCGGGAATCTTACCTGTACATAATATATAAACCACCTGTTAAATTTGTTTAATTAATAACATAAGGTGTGAATAATTGAAAACTATTAACCCCCCCAAAAAAAGAAACTTTATCCCAAATTAACACACAAAAACTATATAAACCTTTAATAACTTTAAACAGAAAATATAAAAAACAAAACCCGATCAAAGTAGAGAGAAACATTAATTAAGAGCTTTAATACAATAATAACAACAGGTAACAGGTAACAGTAACAATAACAGGTAAAAGAACAGTAACAGGTAAAATAACAGTAACAGGTAACAGTAACAATAACGGTAAAAAACCAGTACAGGTAAAATAACAGTAACAGGTAACAATAATAATAACAGGTAAAAGAACAATAACAGGTAATAATAACAGGTAATAATAACAGGTAACAGGTAACAGGTAACAATTAAAAAAAAATCAACTCCACATACTCTGATGGTCTGAATTGGCTTCTTTATACTCGGGATGTTCAGGAGGAGGTGATGGCGGCTCATTGAAGTTAGGGTACTGGGTCTCTCTCTCGCTGTGTGTGTAGGACCATGCAGCGTTAGGGTCCAGGAGTGTGTACAGCTGTGTCTTTACCATCAGCCAGAAGATATTACCCATTATCCAATTCGCTGCCCATCTCATCATTTGTATCGGCTGGTGAAGTAAACAAGAGAGGATAATGTCGTCACCTTTGATGGAGAATGGGATGATGGAGAATGGGATGATGGAGAATGGGATGATGAAGAATGGGATGATGAAGAATGGGATGATGAAGAATGGGATGATGAAGAATGGGATGATGAAGAACAGTATGATGAAGAACAGTATGATGAAGAACAGGATGATGAAGAACAGTATGATGAAGAACAGGATGATGAAGAACAGGATGATGAAGAACAGGATGATGAAGAACAGGATGATGAAGAACAGGATGATGAAGAACAGGATGATGAAGAACAGGATGATGAAGAACAGTTGTATGTAGAGAATGATAAAGAACATATACTGATGATTAGCCTTTAGAAATTCCTTAAGGGAAACTGTAAGCACAAATATCCACGAAATCAACAAAACTACAACTTTAGACGTAATTTCAATCTCTCTCTGTTGCCACAAATTACAAACGAACTCATACAAGTGTATATTATGTATACTCACCGTATGTAGTATAGAAGCCATACTTGATCTCACCTGACTATCGAGACACACGGCCTGATAGTCGAAAATCCTGATTCTCTTATATACACCACTCGACACTAACGACTCTATGATAGTTCCTTCTAGCGTGCCGAAAAACTTGCCCGTGTCTTCCTCCCTCTCAGAAGCGATGATGAAGCCATTGTCGTCCAGAAGGTAACAGTCTAAGGAGGTGCTTTCACATGTCTTGGCAGTCTTGCAGCTAGAGTCTCGAGATGGGTATGATGGACACTGTGGGGTAGGGAGGGAGGGGGGTTAGGCCTCATTAGTGGTGTGGTTGTGGTGGAGGCGGGGGGGTAAGGGTCGTGGTTAGTGGTAGAGGGGTGTTGGGAGTAGTGGTGGTGGTTTGGTTAGGTTTGGTTAGGTTTGGTTAGGGTAGCATAGTTTAATGTTATGTTAATATATAAGTTAAAGGCGGGGGGGCTATTCTTCATGTGGTCCATTAAAATCATTCAGAGTACTTTTTTCATATAAGTAATTCTCTCCTCTCTACCAGACAGTATAACTCACTAAATCAGCTTCTTTACTTTGCTATACAGTCGATACACTATACAGTAGATACACTATACAGTCGATACACTATACAGTCGATACACTATACAGTCGATACACTATATAATAATGAGCACAAACTAACAATATTTTGTATATCTAACCAATATTGTGTTTACGTGGGACAGAGAGTAGCTCATAATCTCACTATCTATCTCATTGTATACGCTTCCTGTCCCATTATACACTTACCGTCCCATTGCACACTTCCCGTTCCCATTATACACTTACCGTCCCATTGTACACTTACTGTCCCATAATACACTCCCCGTCCCCATTAAACACTCATTTTTAATTGACTATACAGCTCTCATAATTTCAATCTACTTTTCTATTTTCTTTTAAAGATTTTGGTAGTAACTTCAAAGGTATAAATTTTTAGACAGGGACAACAGCACTTAAGATGTTCAGTACACGATAAACTACTGTACACTCACCCACTAAAGTCCTGTCGCTTCTCCTCCTGAACCCGAACCCCTGAATCCGAACCCCCTGAACCCGAACCCCCTGAACCCGAACCCCTGAACCCGAACCCCTGAACCCGAACCCCTGAACCGAAGATTTTATGGATAGAATAATGTATCAGTCTACTGCTTCGGGTTCATGAGTCTGAATCTCTCGGGGGTTCGTGGTTCAGGAGAGGCGAGAGTACTTTTGTAGGATGATAGTACCGTGTGTTAGTGTGTTGTAATGTACTGTACAAGCGCTACTGAACGGCTGGTGTACAAGTCTTACCGGCGGATCCTTTGACTTGTAGTAGTTGTAAAATATTAATAAATAGATAAATAATAACAGAACATAAATAAAAATAAAAATTATATTATCATTTCTAACTTAGATATGTTACTTGAGTAGATAGAACACACACACACACACACACACACATACACACACACACACACACACGCACATCATGGTGGAAATAAGTTAATTTAAACCCTCGTGGTACAGTGTGTTCTAGTGATGTGTACCTATGTGTGTGTGAGTGTGTGTGTGTGTGTGTACCTGTATCTTCGTCTGCGTATATGTGTATTATTATTCCTATGTATATGTGTTTAGCTATGACTCTCTGTGTACGTAAACCACTATATATATGTACCTGTATATGTATATCTATATGTAACTATGAACACATCTTTCCTTAATACCACATCACATAAGTATTTAACTCACCTTATACGTCTCGTTCTTAAAGTACTCAACAAACTTGCTGTGTTTGATGGTAACACCGACCACAGCAGCTGGGGCCCTACGATATGTGTTTTCTTCAATGAATATAGCACGAGTAGCCGTCACCAACACGTCCTCTGGGTCACGGGTCGCTGAAAACATGACAATTGGAGATAATTAACATGGAAATGAAATATGTGAGTTGGGATTTTTTTTATTTGAGGTAACGATATGTAAAACAAACATACACACACACACACACGCACGCACGCACGTAGACAGACAGACAGATAGACAGACAGACAGATAGCTACTCACCAGCATCGAAAGGAACTGAGTAAACGTAAGCCTTAGAGTCTTCTTCATAGTAGTCGACAGCTCTCTTATACCACACCTCATCTATGGCTCGGTTGTGGATCTTCATGAAGTGCCTGGAGGTAGAGGTATGAGAGGTATGGTAGGAGGTCATGGTGGGAGGTAAGAGGTCATGGTGGGAGGTTGAGAGGTCATGCTAGGAGGTTATGGGAACACAATATTATATCGTTAAGATTATATTCACTTTTACACTACCACACTACCACACTACCATACTACCACACCACCACAGGACCATACTACCACACCACCACACTTCCACACTACCACACTACCACACCACCACACTACCACACTACCACACACACTACCCACACCACACAGAGACCATACTACCCAAAACCACACTTCCCACACTCTACCACACCTCTACACTAGCACACCACCACACTACCACACTTCCACACCACCACACTACCACACCATCACATTACCACATCACCACACTACCACACCACCACACTACCACACCACCACAATACCACACCACCACACTACCACACCACCACACCACCACACCACCACACAACAACTTACCACCACACTACCACGCCACCACACTACCACATACTACACACCACACAGAGACCATACTAAGCCACCACACACTTCCACACACTACCACACTACCCACACTACCATACTACCACACACCACCACAGGACCATACTACCAAACCACCACACTTCCCACACCACCACACTACCACACTACCATACTACCCACACCACCACACCACCACACCACCACACCACCACACTACCACACCCACACCATACTACCACACCCACCACACCCACACCACCACACTACCACACCCACACACTACCATACTACCCACACCCACCACACTACACCCACATACCTACCCACACCTGCCACACCCACACCACACACCACCACACCACCCACACTACCACACCACCACACACCACCACACACCATACTACCACACCACCACACACTATATACTACCACACCACCACACTACCATACTACCACACCACCATACTACCCACACCACCCACATCACCCACACCACCACCCCCACCCACCCCTCCACCATCACCACCCCACCACCCACACCCACACCTCACCCCACCCACCACCACACCCACCCACACCCACCCCACCCCACCCACCACACCACCACCCACACACCCCACACCTCACCCACCCCACCACACACCCCACCACCACACTAACCCTACCACACCATCACACTACCACTACCACAACACCCACCCCACCACCACACCACCACCACACCACCACACCACCCCACCACCACACCACCCCACCACCACACCACCACCAACTTACGGTTCATCAGAGTGAATATTGTGTGCATTCTCTTCTCCAGGGTTTGCTTGAGTAAGATCCAACCATCTCGTAAGGCCGCTCCGGGTAGCCACAAACGCAGTCGTCATTCCGAAGTTATATTGTACTTGACTGGAAAATACATCAATGATAACTATTAAAATCAAATAAATAACCATTAACCAATAACTACCTTGTTAATGTACGCCTAAATACATTAAGATAGTTAGGTTAATGTTGTGAAAAGATATTGATGATTTTTATAGTAATTAGTAACGTTTATACCAGAGCTTTGCGTTATCCTAGTCTGATGTGTTATGTGTGTGTGTGGTGACAGGTATCGGAATAAATAGAATAAATATTTTTTTTTTTTTGCAGTTTGATGAGTTAAGTTTATTCTTTTTTATCACAATGGAAAAAATTTAGTATTATATTTATTCTTCCACCTGTTGGTTAGTAATTAATTTGCATACATATAATTAATGGGAGGAAGAATATATTAGTCACCTGTTGAGGAAAAATTAATTATTAAAGGAGAAAATTATTAGTAAATACATTAATTAATTATCCTAATTATTATACCTAATGACTTTGATATTATACTAAATTATACAACAAAGAATCCCACACTAATGATACCTAATCAATAATAATATCTTGAGTATTATACAAAAATAATAACTCCTCTGTTTAACGGACTATATAGAGAGGAAAATCCGTTATATTAAGGATCCGTTATATATCAACCCCCCATCAAACAAACTCTATAGAGATGAAAGTCCGTTATATCAAGGATCCGTTATATATCAACCCCCATCAAACAAACTTTATAGAGATGAAAGTCCGTTATATCTAGGATCCGATATATATCAAACCCCCATCATTAATGAACTCTATAGAGATGAAAGTCCGTTATATCAAGGATCCGTTATATATCAAGCCCATCATTAATGAACTCTATAGAGATGAAAGTCCGTTATATCAAGGATCCGTTATATATCAAACCCCCATCATTAATGAACTCTATAGAGATGAAAGTCCGTTATATCAAGGATCCGTTATATATCAAACCCCATCATTAATGAACTCTATAGAGATGAAAGTCCGTTATATCAGGATCCGTTATATATCAAATCCCATCATTAACGGACTATATAGAGAGGAAAATCCGTTATATTAAGGATCCGTTATATATCAACCCCCCATCAAACAAACTCTATAGAGATGAAAGTCCGTTATATCAAGGATCCGTTATATATCAACCCCCATCAAACAAACTTTATAGAGATGAAAGTCCGTTATATCTAGGATCCGATATATATCAAACCCCCATCATTAATGAACTCTATAGAGATGAAAGTCCGTTATATCAAGGATCCGTTATATATCAAACCCCCATCATTAATGAACTCTATAGAGATGAAAGTCCGTTATATCAAGGATCCGTTATATATCAAACCCCCATCATTAATGAACTCTATAGAGATGAAAGTCCGTTATATCAAGGATCCGTTATATATCAAACCCCCATCAAATGAACTATGTAGAAATAAAAGTCCGTTAAATCGAGGGTCCTTTAAAAGTAAAATCCCCATCTAACGGATTACATGGTGAGAAAATCCGCTATATGGAGGTATAATTATGTATTCAATAGCTCACTAAAATCTGCTCTGGTATTACCTTATTTAATAACAACGACAAACACTCATAAATTTACTCATCAAAGAATAATAAAGTAAAATTACCCATAAAAAAATATATATTGTAATTTTAATAATATTTTTAGGATTTTCCATAACATAGTTTTTTCCTATTTTTTCTTTTTTTTGCTCTTCTGAGGATGATAGATTGAAGCTATAATTTATCTAGCATTCTTAAGTAAATCAGCTATCATCCTGTTAAACCATGGTCTAGAAAGGGTTAAGCCATCATTTCCAAAGGGATAAATCATCTACAAAGGGTTAAACCATCATTTCCAAAGGGCTAAACCATCATTTCCAAAGGGTTAAACCATCATCGCCAAAGAGTTAAACCATCATTTCCAAAGGGTTAAACCATCATCGCCAAAGAGTTAAACCATCATTTCCAAAGGGTTAAACCATCATCTCCAAAGGGTTAAACCATCATCACAAAAGGGTTAAACTAGCATTAACTTGCGACCCAAAAAATTTATTTAAGCCAAAAATTAGATAAAAAAAATTCCGTATTCATGAAAGAAAAAAAATGATTTTAGCATTTAAGAGGTAAAGTCCTCTTGAAACTTCACTTAATACGTATATATAAGACTTGATATAACACAGGCATCATCCATATATATAACACAAAGCAGTTTATTATATAGGAAAATAACTATAATGCCTTGTGTTATGTTATAGAGATATAGAAAAGCACAAAATGTGTTTACAAATGAACTTCACACTTCCTCACATACTGTACAGTACAGTCTTAAATGACAACTCTTTATCATGACGCTAATACGGATGTTAAATTAATTCATTATTTAACCATATATAATTACCATATATGTCATACCTGATGCTTCATAATCTGTCCTAAGCTAATTAAGGTACACACCTGTATGATTCTGTAACCACGGGGAAAATTACTGTACCTGTAATTTATTCCCACACCTGTACTGTACTTGAGTTTCTGAATAAAATGAACTAGATATGACACCTTGTACCACTATACGGTATACCATAATACAGGTGATTACAGGTCAGATTGTAGGGATCGGAAGTTACAGTATTAGTGGAAATAAACCCCTAAGGACGAGTACTGTACCTGTACAAGAGCGTTATGTAAATCGCCACTGGGCTGGTTGTGAGGAAATTGATTGGTTAGTGAGGACAGTGAGCAGTTAGTGAGGATAATCATCAGTTAGTGAGGACAGTGATTGGTTAGCGAGGACAATGATTGGTTAGTGAGGACATTGATTGGTTAGTGAGCACAGTGATTGGTTAGTGAGAACAATGATTGGTTAGTGAGGACAGTGATTGGTTAGTGAGGACAATGATTGGTTAGTGAGGACAGTGATTGGTTAGTGAGGACAATGATTGGTTAGTGAGGACATTGATTGGTTGTTGAGGACGGTGATTGGTTAGTGAGGACAGTGATTGGCTAGTGAGGACAATGATTGGTTAGTGAGGGACAATGATTGGTTAGTGAGGACGTGTTGGTTAATGAGGACAGTGATTGGTTAGTGAGGGACAATGATTGGTTAGTGAGGACAGTGATTGGTTAGTGAGGACAGTGATTGGTTAGTGAGGACGGTGATTGGTTAGTGATGACAATGAATGGTTAGTGAGGACGGTGATTGGTTAGCGAGGGACAGTGATTGGTTGAGTGAGGAACAGTGATCAGTTGGTGAGGGACAGTGATTGGTTGGTGAGGACAGTGGTTAATGAGGACAGTGGTGGTTGAGTGAGGACAGTGATTGGTTAGTGAGGACAGTGGTTAGTGAGGGACAATGATTGGTTAGTGAGGGACGGTGATTGGTTGGTGAGGACAGTGATTGGTTAGTGAGGACAGTGATTGGTTAGTGATGACGTGATTGGTTAGTGGACGGTGATTGGTTGGCGGGACAGTGATTGGTTAGTGAGGAACGGTGATCAGTTAGTGAGGGACAATGATTGGTTAGTATGAGGACAGTAATTGGTTAGCGAGGACATTGATTGGTTAAATGGGGACAATGATTGGTTAGTGAGGACGGTGATTGGTTAGTGAGGACAATGATTGGTTGGTGAGGACGGTGATTGGTTGGTAGAAGACGGTGATCAGTTAGTGAGGACAATGATTGATTTGAGGACATTGATTGGTTGGTGGGACAGTTGGTTAGTGAGGACAGTGATTGGTTAGTGAGGGACAATGATTGGCTAGTGGGGACAATGATTGGTTAGTGAGGACAGTGATTGGTTGATGGGGACGGTGATTGGTTGGTAGGGGACAGTGATTGGTTAGTGAGGACAATGATTGGTTAGTGAGGACAATGATTGGTTAGTGAGGACAGTGATTGGTTAGTGAGGACAGTGATTGGTTAGTGAGGACAGTGATTGGTTAGTGAGGACAGTGATTGGTTAGTGAGGACAGTGATTGGTTAGTGAGGACAGTGATTGGTTAGTGAGGACAGTGATTATTTAATGAGGAAAGTCATTGGTTAGTTGAAGGAATTAGGAAATAGAATAATGGAAAAGAGGAGAAAGAAAAGAGAGATAGAAATACCTGGAGATAATGAAAAATGAGGAAATATGAGAAAATGGAAAATGATTGGTGTAGAGAAAGTATAGAGATCATTGATTGGTGTAGAGAAAGTATAAAGATCATTGATTGGTGTAGAGAAAGTATAAAGATCATTGATTGGTGGAGAGAAAGTATAGAGATCATTGATTGGTGTAGAGAAAGTATAAAGATCATTGATTGGTGTAGAGAATGTATTTAAAGATCATTGATTGGTGGAGAGAAAGTATAAAGATCATTGATTGGTGGAGAGAAAGTATAGAGATCATTGATTGGTGTAGAGAAAGTATAAAGACCATTGATTGGTGGAGAGAAAGTATAAAGATCATTGATTGGTGGAGAGAAAGTATAGAGATCATTGATTGGTAGAGAGAAACTATAAAGATCATTGATTGGTGGAGAGAAAGTATAAAGATCATTGATTGGTGTAGAGAAAGTATAGAGATCATTGATTGGTGGAGAGAAAGTATAGAGATCATTGATTGGCAGAGAGAAAGTATAGAGATCATTGATTGGTGGAGAGAAAGTATAAAGATCATTGATTGGTGTAGAGAAAGTATAAAGATCATTGATTGGTGGAGAGAAAGTATAAAGATCATTGATTGGTGGGGAGAAAGTATAAAGATCATTGATTGGTGGAGAGAAAGTATAAAGATCATTGATTGGTGGAGAGAAAGTATAGAGATCATTGATTGGTGGAGAGAAAGTATTTAAAGATCATTGATTGGTGGAGAGAAAGTATAAAGATCATTGATTGGTGGAGAGAAACTATAGAGATCATTGATTGGTGGAGAGAAAGTATAAAGATCATTGATTGGTGGAGAGAAAGTAAACAAAGGGAGGGGGGTCCTTGTTCTATAATGTTGCTTGTCACAAAAAAAAAGATTCTTGGTTAATACAGAATCATCAGAATCACATAACAAAATCTTAAGGCTAAATTTCCATACAAGATTATAAAAGAAAATTATACATCACAAGCAAATCGATTTTATTTTTTAATGATGAATAAAAACAAAATAACTGGGTGAATAATTATATGATTTAATTCTTTATTATATTGAAATAAACTGATTTATTTTTATTTTTGAGTCTTGTTATGGAAATTGAGCCTCAATAATTTTTTGAACTAAATTTGTGCTCCACAGAGAACATAATCAAGCGGTGTTGAGTATAAGAAAATAACCAGAATGCCTAATTATTAACTACCTTAATTACCTTAACTAGCTGAATGTTCACTAATCACTACTGACATCTTTCCTTGACATGCTAACAAGGAGTTTATTGAAGACACACAATAATTGACCTCAGTAATAACTAAATAGTGAATGATTGAACCGTAATATTTAATAATAATTTATGAAAGATTTAAATTTTAATTAGGATAAGACTCTAACGATTAAGACAATGTAATTATGTGAGCTAGTAAGACTAATCAGTGTAATTATTACTTACCCTAACCGCATCTATCTTAACCTTACCAAACCTAACCTAACCTAATCTCAACCATCAGCAAAGTTATTAGTAGTTAATCTAATCATAAAATAGAGAAATTATTGTTCATCCTAGGAATTAAAAGGTAATTATATAGAGAGTGTTGATCGCCCTAGGAATTAAAAGGTAATTATATAGAGAGTGTTGATCGCCCTAGGAATTAAAAGGTAATTATATAGAGAGTGTTGATCGCCCTAGGAATTAAAAGGTAATTATATAGAGAGTGTTGATCGCCCTAGGAATTTCTTTTCTCTCTAGTTAATTTTCAGTACAGGTAATGGGTTTTAATTTTTTTCATCTTTGTCTGTATTTCAATAATTAAAATCTTGAATAAATTCCTCAACACTAGACAATTACTGTTCGAACTTACAGAAAAATATCTTTCTTATTTAAATTTACTTTCATGTCTTCCAAATCATGTTTAGAAATAAGTCTTAGAAAATTATACTCACAATGGCGGAATTTTTGGTTATAGACTGTAAATATTATAGTAAAATTTTAACTATTAAAAACAAAACATTTACGTGTAACAACTTTTTTCAGTATTTATATAAGTGGATTTTGTTTTTATTTTAGTTCTATATTTACTATTATTTGGTGAATCGCAAAAATAAATTCTTTAAATCAATTAAATATTATTTGATTTCATTATTTCCTTCACTTTTATTAAATAGCTTCAAACTCTCTTTTCCAATATATGTTTTGTTTATTTTGAACCTAACACCATTCCTGTCTATCCCTGTCTAATCCTGTCTATCACTAACAAGAAAACGGAAAAGTGAAGAAGCAGCAACAGAGAACGAATTCAAGGGGTGACTTACTTTTTTCCTTCAATCAAATCCTCAACATCGCCTTTGTTTTCATATACGTTGGTAGCTCTGGCGTCGAACAGAAGGCTTTGTACCAAGTCCTTGTCACCTGAGAGAGAAAGTGAGAGAGAGAGAGAGAGTGAGAGAGTGTATGTGAGAGTGGGAGAGTAGTTACAGCACACACACACACACACACACACTTACACTCACTTACAACTATTACTTACACATGTACTGTACTTACACTATACTTACAATGACTTATATTCTACTGTTATAATTATATTTTAGATAGAAAGACAATATTTCTGTTTAACACTTTCATTTCTTTTATAAATATCTACTCTTCTCCTAGGACAAACTACTATAGAGATTAATACAGGCTAAGAGACCATTCTAGGAAAAAAATTACCTCAGCTCAGAAGGCTTACGGTACAGGTATATATAAAGGTGTGAGTAAGGACAGGTACAGGTGTGCTAATAAGGACAGGTACAGGTGTACTAATGAGAGTAAAGAACAGGTACAGGTGTGCTAATAAGGACAGGTCCAGGTGTGCTAATGAGAGTAAAGAACAGGTACAGGTGTGCTAATAAGGACAGGTACAGGTGGCCTAATAAGGACAGGTATAGATGGGCTAATAAGGACAGGTACAGGTGTGCTAATAAGGACAGGTACAGAAGTGCTAATGAGAGGTGCAACAGGTGGTATACTTACAATAATAATTCTCACTCCTATCGTCTTCCACAACGGGCTTCCAGGTATTGTCTGGTGGGTGGATAAACATTAGTTTGTTTCATGGCACACACACACACACACACACACACACACACACACACACACACACACACTCACACACACACACACACATGTAAGTTAGGAACCGTAAGCATCACAGAGTAGTATGAGTCAAATATAAGTCATGAATGTAAATAAGTCTCCAAGCATAATAAATATGACAAGCAAACACTCAAACTTGGCCTGGTTCATTTGTGAGTAAGACTTAAGCATGATAAGTATGAAACAGGATATTTATGAGTTATGAGTGAGAAGGACAGGTACAGAAGTGCTAATGAGAGGTGCAACAGGTGGTATACTTACAATAATAATTCTCACTCCTATCGTCTTCCACAACGGGCTTCCAGGTATTGTCTGGTGGGTGGATAAACATTAGTTTGTTTCATGGCACACACACACACACACACACACACACACACACACACACACACACACACTCACACACACACACACACATGTAAGTTAGGAACCGTAAGCATCACAGAGTAGTATGAGTCAAATATAAGTCATGAATGTAAATAAGTCTCCAAGCATAATAAATATGACATCCTATTTATGAGTTATGAATGAGAACTAAGCATGATAAGAGTGAAACAGGATATTTATGAGTTATGAATGAGAACTAAGCATGATAAGAGTGAAACAGGATATTTATGAGTTATGAATGAGAACTAAGCATGATAAGTAAGACAGATAAACACTCACACTGTGCCTGGTTCATGGTTGGCTCAGGAGGGGGGCGGGTACGGGTGGAGCGCCACTTCCAGTGTGGTTTCTGGGCACGGGACAGGAAGTCTTTCATAAGATCCTCAGGGCTCTGGAAGACTCTGTTCTGGTCATACTTGTACTCGCAATACACCCTAGGGAGGAAAGATGACAGTACATTATTGATTGAGTACATATTAGGGGAGAGATAAGTGAGAGTGCAATACTAAATGAGTACATATTGGGGCAAGATAAGAGAGATTACCTTACTGATTGAGTACATATTGAGGTAGATGAGAGAGAGTACGTTACTGATTGAGTACATATTGGGGTAGATAAGAGAGCGTACATAACTAAATGAGTAAATCTTGGTGTTAATTGAGAGAAAGTACAATATGAATTGAGTACAGGACACCCTGGCCAGAGAAAAAAGGTACTAATATTACTCAAATACTATATCCAGGGCAGACATACTAATATATACACCATGTAATTTAAGATTTTGTAGGTATTATCACACACACACACACACACACACACACACACACACACACACACTCAACTTACCAATCAGGGTGCAGAGTCCAGTTACCAGAGGCAAAGTGATCCATAATCTCTGAAATTATATAAATAAATCAATTTCATACGTTTACAAGACATTTAGACACTTATAACACAGTCAGTTTATTACGTCATGACAACATTGAAATATATACAGTTGAGTCCAAAAAAGAATGCCCGTTTTTTTTTATACGCGACTATTTTAAACAAGGGTATTGTTTTTGTTTGACTCTGTACCCCTTTGAGTACTAGTGAATTTTTAATCCTTTGAGTACATTAAGGTAATCTCATGACTAAATTAATGTAATTCGTGTATTAATGTACTCAAGGGGTTTAAATCATTAGTACTCAAAGGTTTATTATCATATTCCAATTCACTTGATCTTATTTCTCTACTTTCCACATAAACAAATGTTTTACTTAATAACACTACTTCTCACACATAAATAAACTACATACTTAACACTTTTCACCCACATAGACAAGTAATTCACTTAAAACTTCCCTAATATCTACTTACACCCACTCAAAAAAAAAAACTATCTATACCACATTGTGTTGAGACAATATAACACAACGGACGAAGGATTTTGACAACCCTACCGAGGCAACAGGAGTCACAGTGTTCATTGTGAAACTCATCGATCACACCAAGTACAGATAGATTTTTTTGAGTGACTGTACCGAACATAACCCAACTTACCCTTATTGGTCCGTGGATCTTGAATTTCCCTGGTAAGTTCTATCTGTCCGTGTACTTTATATTTGCCATAGGATTCAGGTAAGGCAATCCCCAGACTGAAGGGCGTTCCACCAATCATCTGTGTATAATACCACTGCTCCCTCTGAACAACGCGTTTCTGAAGGAAGGGGGGGAAGGTTTAGCTTAGGTTGGTAGAAACAATTGTCATGAAAGGGTTAAACTTTAGACCATCTTCCTCAAAGGGTTATATCATCGTATCCTCAAAGGTTTAAAACCATTGTTGTCAAAGGTTTAAACCATCAGCATCAAAGGTTTAATACACCCGATATCATTTTATCAACAATACAACATACCAGACTGTGTTTCTCTTACCATGCCGTCCAGGTGAATCTTAACAGCATGCATAGCCTCAACATCGCGCTGCTCAATCAACTCACGACGAAGCTGCAAAAACAGTATCGGATGAGAAATTTGTAAGAGTTAACCCAGAGCAGAATCAGAACTATTGGCGCTTGTGTGTTGTAATAAGTAAGAAAATTGGCTGAAATGGGCAAGTAACTAAGTAGGAAAATTGGTTGAAATAGACAAGGGAGGAAAACAAGTACAAGGATTATTTTAACACGAACTGAGGAGGACAAGTACAAAACATGACAGAATTCTTGACTTGAACTGATTTTACGTCAACTATAAGTGTCTAATTAATGTCAAGATTTATTTTTTAGTATAACATCAATAAACTGTTTTTATGTTGATATTATAATGTATTAATACACAACAACAACAACAACAACAACAGGTCTTAACTAGTGGGTTTTTTAATTAGTAAATAAACTAATACACTAATCTATTGAGGGGGGGGGGGAGATAGTCTACTAACCCCTCCTGTACTGAATACAGTCATCTGACGTTAACCAAATAAAATAAACAGCGACGTCTTAACCCAAATACGTGACGCCTCCGTAATAATGGGGTTAAAATTAGTCTCAATCTACAGTGCGAGGTAATTACTGCTAATTTCTGTCATGTTTTGAATCACCTTAGAACTGATACACACACATACACACAGGTGCTGATTATGCCCAGGTAGGTAATTGGATAAAGTCTTTATTGTAATTACCATACGTTAAATGACTCAAGTTCTAAGGGTAAATGTTATCTCGAGTTAATACGAAAATAAGGGAGGAGGGAGTGAGTTGATGGGGAGAGAGGGAGGTGGAAGGGGTGAATTGAAGGGGGGAGAGAGAGGGGGGAATAAGTTGAAGGGGAGAGGGAGGTGGAGGGGTGAATTGAAGGGGGAGAGAGAGGGAGGAGAGGAATGGGTTGAATGGGAGAGTAAGGGGGTGAGTTGAAGGGGGGAGGGAGAAGGAGGAGGGGTGAATTAAAGGGAAGAGAGAGGGGGAGGAGGGGGGTGAATTAAAGGGAAGAGAGAGGGGTGAGGAGGGGCAAGACAGAGGGTTCACATCTACAGGCATAAGAGAGAGTTACAGGTCTCAGGCTGTGTTCCAGACGAGATGTAAACAATGACATAAAATCTAAAGAAATAGACAGATTAACAACTATAAAGGAATTGAGAGGAAAAGATGTAATGCAGAGAGAAAAAGGATAAAATATAGAAGAATAGGGAATTACGAGGAAAAGAGGAAGAGGCAACATTACGATAAACAGATCAAAACACAAGGGGGGGGTCATAGGATAATAACAATGTTGGTCAAATTCGTTCTGAATATCACGACTCCAGAAGTGTGAGGCTAGCATGAAGTCAAGTCCAAATCAACATAATAATTCTTAACTAAAACACTAAACTTTCCTTATGTAGTCTACAGTAAACATTTTTTTTATTTATATCTTTCTAAAAAATTGATCATACCAGAATTATTCCTTCCAACAACAAAAGTCAACAATGGGTTACGTTAAAACATCTGCTTGACTAATCGGATTGGTAAGTTTAGGTAATATAAGAGACAGATTGGAACTAGTAGAATAAAGATTAGATCCAACTTGTATTTTTCTCTTGATTAAATTCACTTTATTTTCATCTAATTCAAAGTTACAGTAACTATGTGTATCCCTCATTAAGTAATAACTAACACCTTTATATGCCAGGTAAGATAACTTTGAGGCATAGAAAGAATGTTATGAATGTTTTTTCTCAAAACATCAAAATTCTTTCTACGTTTCTCATTATAAATCATTAAGTTTGATATTCTAACATTTACACTCTAGTCTACAATTAATTAGTTAACTTTGATAACATTAACACGATAGTCTACAATTAATTCATATTTAACAAGAATATCGAGTGTTGAGTAAAAACAAAAATTATCATCTTACTACATAACACTGAACTAAAGTCTGTGTGTTTGTACAGGATTGTGTTGTTGACATCTGAGGACTGGTACAAGACACCAAATATTATCATATGAAGAACATTAAAAGGCCCCTTTCTAGTCTTAAGTACTGTTTGTTCTGGTGTTAAATGGAAGAACACCAGAACAGAGTTTTTTGTTCTTGTATTCATTGATGATAAAAGATAAAAGAACATAGAGAACATAATATATCAGTCATAGCTTCATTATATCATGTTATCATACGAGAGATGATACAACCAAGAATATAACACAGACTTGATGTGTTCAACTGTTCAACAATAACACTAATTACAGTTACCATTACCTCATAATAGTCAAAGAAATCAGTCAATGTTTGGTCAGTCAAGAAACCAGTCATGATTTAGCCGTAGTAAGTCTTATAAACTCTAGGATAACACACGCTTACACACGTCTACTTTCTACAATACGTTGTCAATAACTCTGGGTGGACCAAACTACCATCTACCGTACAGGGAGTCTCTCAGCAAAAAATGTAAACAAACTGCCTTATATATTTTTGGGATGGAGAGACAAAGGAGACCACGTAAATGTTTATAATACAACTTCAATATTGTTCCCACTTGTTGATCTACGAGGTGGGAACAAATGAGGAGAACCAAGTTATATTAGAAGCATTTACGTGATAACTATGAATATCTGTAAGTTAGTTTGTATACTTTTTTTTTGAGATGCTTTGCATATACTCCAAAAACAGTAATCTTAGAAATTGCAGTTAGTATTGAGGGAGGGAATAAGTCAACTACGTTCAACAGATGACCCCAAGCAACCATCTGTATAAAGAGCAGATAACCAGCTGGTGGCGGAAGGTTTCAGATGGTTTTTCACACCAGCTTGGGGGGAGGGGGAGGGAGTTAGATACCGGTGAGCCTCTATGATGTGCTGATGCCCCTGTGAGACGTCCAGTGATAAGAGAACAGTGCTGGATATATTCATTAACTACCTGAGTTATTTACCAACACAGGTACAGTACAGTATCTTGATTTTGGTAGTGATATATAACTTTGTTTTAATTTCACAAAGGCAATTCTTCCTTCTATTAAGAGACAAATACTCTCCGTTGTTTACGAAATAATTTTATATACATATATATTTAACGAAGTTATTTTTCTATGATATACAATAACAGAGAAAATAAAAATATGATGTTGGTAGAATATGTTTACCACACAACACGAACAAGAGTTATGTGTCCCCAACATCGTCCACATCACTGGGGTTAACAACATGACATGCACATAAGACCAACATAGCAGAAAAATAGCTTGGATTCACTGTCTCATATATATTCTATTTTTTTTATAAATATCAAAGAGTAATAATGTACATGATCTCCACACACGTATGTTTATTGTGAACCCAAGGTCATCATCATCATCTTATATGGTCATTTTCACATCAAAGGTGCAAAAAACACAAAACAAAATCCGTTCATGCCATTCCCGTCTTGAAGAAAATGTAATGAAACGTGATTGGTGGAGCCATCATCGTCGAGGCCCCGCCCCCTCCATCAGCAAGAACAGAAACATGAGTAAAAGAATAACACACAAAGACTGGACGTTGAAGATGACCATATAACTATGAACAAGGCCGGAAATAACACGATAGGAAGCAAGTGGCTAAGTAGAAGAACAGTTCCAGAGTCTTTTAGCCAAGAAGCAGCAGCAGCAGCAACAGCGATCTTCACTCTCCTAACTAAAGAAGAGAGAGGCCTTCCATGGCTCCTCAACCAATGGCAAGAAACGTCCTAGAAGCCCAGAGTCAAAAATAGGACAAAACAAGAGGATATCTTTCAAATCCTTGGCTAGTAGGACAGAGGCATTCTAAGTTATTCCTTGACCAACGGGAAGGAGACAACCCCCTCCCCCTGATCTTGTGTGACCAATAGGAAGAGTAGGAGGACCATGAGGAGTTGTAAACAAAGAGCACTAGAGGATTGAAGGCAGGTACAGAAGCCTACCCGCCCAGGCTAGGCTTCCACACTCCAGTACCTTGCTATTGTAATCTCTCCACATTGTCAGCTGCGCCACACCATGGAAGGAGGAGAAATATCGAAGAACACATAATAATAAAGGTTGAGAGAAAACAAAAAACACAAAAGATTATACATGGTTTATTAGGGTGAGATCTGGTGATTAAGAGGCATTCCATTTTGATACATAGATTCTAAGATCGAATTCTGAAATCACTTGATAATCTACAGTAATATAATTACTCAGGTTGAATTATAAAGTTAATTATGACGTTACCTGTTTATTAAGTAACTCTTGACTCAAAATGACTTACATAAAACACATCAATGACTATTAGTAATAAAAAATATCAACTTGACAATTACGAGAAATGTTGTTCATCAGTTTTACATTATCAGATCATGAATAACAAAGCCAGAATTTATTGAATATGTTACAATGTAAATGAAAACTATACAATCAGATATAAACATTCATCAGTTATCTCAGAACTCGATCTTAAAATATCAGAAGCATTTAATAAACTTGAAACAAAATCAACCATAAAAATAAAAATAAAATATTACTGACTGAATTTTATGTGAAATTATAGAAATTATGTTAAATAAAGAAACTGTTAAAATATTCTCACGGACGATATACATTACTAATTTATATGCACAAATATTGTTAAGGTGTTTATATAGTTTGTCGTCCATTGAAGAAAAAATAAAGTTTGTTTATATTAAAGAATAAGAACACTTACCTAAACTTAAGACTTAATGGTAGATGTGATAACTAATGGTAGTAGATGTGATAACTTATGGCAGTAGATGTGATAACTTATGGCAGTAGATGTGATAATTTATGGCAGTAGATGTGATAACTTATAGTAGTAGATGTGATAATTTATGGCAGTAGATGTGATAACTTATGGTAGTAGATGTGATAATTTATGGTAGTAGATGTGATAACTTATGGTAGTAGATGTAATAATTTATGGCAGTAGATGTGATAACTTATGGCAGTAGATGTGATAATTTATGGTAGTAGATGTGATTACTTATGGTAGTAGATGTGATAATTTATGGTAGTAGATGTGATAATTTATGGTAGATGTGATTACTTATGGTAGTAGATGTGATAATTTATGGTAGATGTGGTAACTTATGGTAGCAGATGTGATAATTTATGGTAGATGTGGTAACTTATGGTAGTAGATGTGGTTACTTATTGTAGATGTGATAATTTATTGTATAATGAGTGTATTAACTAATCATATGACCTAATGTATGAGTGTATTAATTAACTATATAACATGTATAATGAGTGTATTAATTAACTATATAACATGTATAATGAGTGTATTAACTAATTATATAACATGTATGAGTGTATTAACTAATTATATAACATGTATAATGAGTGTATTAATTAACTATATAACATGTATAATGAGTGTATTAACTAATTATATAACATGTATAATGAGTGTATTAATTAATTATATAACATGTATAATGAGTGTATTAACTAATTATATAATATGTATACTAACTGGGCCGCCACTTACCGCTAGGAGGTCGGAGTTGTTGGCACGAGGACCTGCCTCGTTGTCTGTCAGTTCGACCTCAGCAAAGTCCACACTGTTGTAGTTTGGCTTCAGTATGTCTTGGAACTAGTGTAAGGGTGGAGTGGGAATATCCACGCCAGCGAGAGAGAGAGGAGAGAGAGAGAGAGAGAGAGAGAGAGAGAGAGAGAGAGAGAGAGAGAGAGAGAGAGAGAGAGAGAGAGAGAGAGAGAGAATGGCAGAATTGAGGCCACTACAGGAGAAATAGTGGAGAGAAAGAGAGAGACAGACAGAGAGAGAAAGAGAGATTGGAGAAGAAGTAGAAGAGGAATAGCAAAAGGGGCGGTAAGGAAAAGTGCTAAAAAGATAAGCAGAACAGGGGAGGGTGAAGAGGAGGAGGAGGAGGAGGAGGAGGAGGAGGAGGAGGAGATGAGGAGGAGGAATCAAATATATAGATTAATAACATTATACCATTAAATCTTACCACTATATATAATTATCATACATTATTTGTTTCCTGACTATGCCAGCAAGCATTTAAAGCATATAATGTTGTATAATGAGTTGAGGGGATGGAGGGGGAGGAGGGGCGAGAGAGGATTAGCAGATTAGCCAGAAGGGTTTTGGTTTTTGATGAGCCTTGGAGTTTGAGGGGGGGGGGAGGAGGAGGAGGAGGAGGTTACAAGGGAGAGGGGGGTAGGGGGTAGGGGCTCTCATACTGTATTCTGGAAACTTATTTTAATCTTTAATTTCATTCTAACTCAAGAAATATTTTTATTTCTTTCATAATGGTTTATCTTTCTGTGTGTGTATATATGTGTTTATGTAATTTGATAATAATATTGATTACCATTAATATGTTATAACCCGGGTTAATGATATCAAACTCTTACTACTTTATAATAATAATATCGGTGCAGGATACTCAAGACTTATTGTGCAAGTTACAATACACTTTGATCAACACATCACAATCTCTACAACACACAGAAAACAACACAATAGTTTCTTCTTCTTTATCATCTATGTAAAAACCCGATGTCTATTTAGTCAATATTGCAAAGACTACTTTCGTGTGGTGGTGAAGGCACTTGACATTGTTACAAGTGTTTGGGTAAAGACACTTATCACTTGGCACCTGATGCCAGCCCCGATATGGTTGGTAATCCGATCGTATCTCGTGGTTAAGACTGTTCGTATCTTCAGGTTAAGGTCGTTTTTATCTTGAGGCTAATGTCGTTCGTAAGAGAGTTTAAGACTGTTCGTAGTTCGTATCTGAGGTTAAGATCGTTCGTATCTTGAGGTTAAGGTTGTTCGTAAGTAAGATTAAGGTCGTTCGTATCTTAGGTTAAGGTCATTTGTAAGTATGATTAAAGTCGTTCATATCTTAGGTTAAAGTAATTCGTAAGTAATATTAAGGTCGATCGTATTTGAGGTTAAGGTCATTCGTATCTTAAGGTTAAAGTCGTTCGTAAGTAAGATTAAAGTCTTTCATATCTTAGGGTAAGGTCGTTTGTATCTGTGTTGATAAGGTTATAAGTTTGACACTGTATACCGGATACCAACCCTTAATATGGGTACTAGAAGGAGGTGTTGGGTGACAGGAGCTTCATATACTACTGTGGTGTTGAGTAAGAAATATAAACTAATTCTAACATTCCGGCGGTAGTCACGCTCACTAGTTCCACACAGTACGTTACCTGTCGGCCGCCACACCACATCACCTCTCATTAGCAGTGTTATTATTTTTCTCTTGTCTATGAAATCCATAATATAAAGTTACTAATTGTTTAATATATTTCTATCCATTTTGTTTTTCATGAATTAATGTGTTAAAACTGAGTTAAATTTATGGATTCCTTATTATTAATCTAGTCATTAAATTTTATAGAGGAAAAAAAATTATATCCACTTTTTGGAGATTAATTAAAAATCGAAACTTAAATTTAGTATCTAACCTAAGTTAACCTAACCTAACATAATACAAGCTAACTTAACCAAACTTAACCTAACTTAACCACTCCAAGTACCGTTATGGTGGTGGTTAATCATTAGGTGACATAAGCTGGGATAGGGAAAATAATCGATTAAGACTTAAATTACATATGTTAATTACCTAAAAATACCAATTATATATAAGAGCGTATGATGTCTCGTAACTACTCTACGTCAATACAGTAAGAGACATATCCCGATATATGGATAAACGGAACCATTAAACCACATCTTATTATTTTTGGTTTATATATTTTTTTTCTTATATCTATGTCAGAGATGCAAGAGGATGGAGTGGTGACCGATAGATAAGACTGGGTAAGGTGGAGGAAGTGGTGGAGAAGCAATTGGTGGTAGTGGTATGGTAGTGGTGGTGGTGGTGGTAGTGGTAGTGGTGGTGGTGGTAGTGGTAGTGGTGGTGATGATAGAGGGTACCAAAAAAAAAAAAAAAATAATGTCAGGTTCAGATTCTCAATAAAATGTTTGGTTAAGTTACGCCCCAATTTGAAAGACAGGAAATAATGAAATAAATAATTCTAATATCTTCACTAACTTCAATGTCACTCAAACTACCCTGATACATTACTGTGACTAATTTTATTTATTTATTTTTTATATAATCCGTAAGTAATTGATTTTCTAGTTTATAATTGCCTTGAGAATCTGACTTATGACTGGCAGGAAAACTTGGTCAGATCAGTGACTTAGAGTGAAGTTGATTGAATGTGGTATTTACTCAGTTGTGGGTGAATTTCCTCCTTATAGAGAGTTATGTTAAGGTCTCAAACGGTAACACAGTACTTCTAGGGAAAAAAATTCGATATCATATCATCTGTGAATCTTTAATGCAATACCTGAGCTATCAAATTTCACCTTGATTAGAACAGGTAAATATTTAATTAACCTTCAACACCTGAGCTATTTAAGTGTACTATAATTATCTAGGCTAGTTAACATAGATTAAAAATAGCTCTAGTTGATTCACAAATAATAAGATACTAGATATAATTTCATTCCCTTCAACACACTATTAACACACACACACACACACACACACACACACACACACACACACACACAGGTACAGTGACACCTTCTTAACCTTAACTTAACCCCCTATAACAACAAGTGTAATGACGTCACTTTATATCCACAGTAATAATAGTCATAATAGCAATTAAAAAAAAGAGATAAATTTATCTTCAATCCAAAAACAAAAACAAAAGCGATAAAAAAAAACCACGATAAATAATAAATAAAGATAGTAATGGTAATAATAATATGTTACCAATATCATGCAGATAAATGAAATACTAACCACAGCACAGCAAACTTGACGACATTCCTTATAAACCAACCAACAAACAAACAAACAAACAAACAAACACAAAAAAATATATAATGTTATTTTTTTTTGTATCAGAAACATAAATAAGAGAATCAATGACAAGACGACTGACTGTATGGAGTAACAAACACTCAAGGAAGCTGAGAAAACAGACGATGGTGAACAGGAAAAGAAAATATGCAAACCAAATAAATATTAATTATTTAAGAGGAAATAACAAGCATAATAGAGAGAGTAAAAGGAATATGTTAGTAAAAAATGATAATAATAATAATAATAATAATAATAATAATAATAATAATAATAATAATAATAATTAGAATGGTTATATCAGCATTGTGTTCCTTGCAAAATGGAGTGATAAGTATCGTGTTACTTAGCTGCAGAGACAAAAATAAAAGCGTTTATTTTTTTTATATAGATATCAATTGTCATGCTACTTCAGTTCGTCAAACCAAGCGAAATATCACCACAGAAATGTATATATATATATATATGTTTGTATGTGTGTATGTATATGTGTGTATGTGTGTATGTATGTGTGTATGTATGTATGTCTTCTAGTCTACGTTGATGTTATGACGTAGGTGAGATGTTATGACGTAGGTGAATTTGTTGTCGTCATGAGTGTCAGACCAAAACATGCAGACGGACACAACGAGATCCATAATGCTAGTGGTTCTGTAGTTTACTCGCCAATGTAAACATCATCTGTTCATTCTATTGGTGAAAAGTTTAATCCATTTAGTAGTTTTAAGTAATGATCAAATACTCTATTGAATTCTCCATTTTTAAAAACTAAACTAAGTCATTAAGTAATATAATTCTCTACTAAGGGTGTAAATAGACTGATTGAAGTCGAGGCAATAGCTTACCTGTCGCCGAAAAAGATATCAATTGTTTTTTTATCTAAGTTTCCCCTTTTTTTAACATTACTTTCCACCAAAGAAAACGGGAACAGAAAGGCGTGACCACAACATATACTACCCTCAAGAACTCTACTGAAACATTGAACCACAAACATACAGGAAAACTTCGAAGTGTCCACCATCTTTCCCTCATGATGGCAAGGCATTTATGAGATGCTGGGAAGTTATCAAATACGGAAGCTAAAATCCTCTAGAGAGACTAAAGAGAAACTCTGCTAATCACCAAGAGTGTGACAGCGTTATTTTTTTTTTTTTTGGCTTTTTTTTTAAGGGAAGTTGTAAGCTGTAGGGAAAAGCGATGTGATAAAATAATATAATTCTTAAACTATAATGGGTGAAACCTCCATTATAACGGATTTAATGGACTTCTTTCATCATAAAGTCCGTTAAATAAAAGTTTCATATTTAACGGACTTGCATCTTACGGATTACCTTCTATCATAAAATCCGTTAGGAAAAAAGTTTCATATATAACGGACAAAGTTCTAAGGGACGGGACTACCTTCTCTCATCACATAGTCCGTTAGAACAGTCTCATATTTAACGGACTTCAATCTAACTGACTAACCTCTCACATAGAGTCCGTTAAATAGAGGTTTCACTATATATATACTGTATATATACGGTTTACCGAGGGTTACCAGGCCACGGTTATCAAAATAAACCCAATTCTTTCACAAATATAAAACACAAGTGGCTTAAAACGGCTGATGGGTTTAATATAACAAGGGACTAGCTGCCAAGCCTGCCATTATTGAGTCAAAACAAAGGGATTCTTACTAAAGGGATACTAAGGGATTCTCAAAGGGATACTATCATTCTACAGTGATACCTGGGTGATTCTACAGTGGTACTATCATTCTACAGTGACAGCAGGGCGATTCTACACAGGATACTATAATTCTACAGTGATACTAACATTCTACAGTGATTATACAATTCTACAATGATACCAGGGTAATTCTAAAGCGGTACTATCATTCTATGGTGATACCTGGGTTATTCTACAGTGATGCAATCCTTCTACAGTGATACTATCAATCTACAGTGGTACCTGAATGATTCTACCGTGACACTATCATTTTACGATGATACTTGAGTAATTCTACAGCGATGCCAATATTCTACAGTGATACCTGAACTAGCGGGGTAGGTAGGTTAGGTTAGGTAAGATTATACTCAGGTTACACGGTCTCACAGGGACTACTGAGTAAACAACACTAGCAGAGATGCCCACATACAGCCGTCAGGTGGGTGACTTAAGCAGGAAACACACACAGGTATCACTATGGATGTATATGCTGGGATTACTAGGATTGCTAGGATTGCTGGGATTGCTGGGACTCGGGTGATACTAAGGACACCACATACAGGTCTATGGGTTATTTGGGACACAAAAGTAAACACTGAGGACAGACTGATATGGATTTCTCTCAGGTAAACAAAAGTATTACAAACACAGGGATCATTCATATAAGGAGATACATTAATTAAGACAACAGGTAACGTACACAGCTTGGATATAGGTAACCAACCACTGGGAGGATACTACAGATACAGGTTGAGAAGTACAGGAAGATACAGGAGGATACAGGAGGATACAGGAAACATTGTCACACTCTTGATGTTGATCTAAACAGCTTCACAGACATAGAGCGGATGACCGGGGTTCCATTTTACCCCCTGGACACTGCATATGTATAATAATAATAGAGAAATAGAGAGAGTTCAGTATAGTATGCCGTGCCTACATGAAGAGGAATTATTAGTTGTTACCCATTTACGCTTGTCACGTGACTTCCTCAGTACCTCAGCATTTGCTTCTTCGTGCTAGGGAGAAAACAAGGATAGAAAAGTGATAGAAAATAGAAAGGAATATTAAAATAAAGGGAAAAAGTGCTAAAAAACTAATGTTTATACTGAGGGGGGGAGGAGGGGGAGTCTATCCAAGAGAATTAAGTGAGCAAGTTTGGTAAATATATATACTGCTTATATATATAAAAAAGAAACTTATAAAATCCATGTTTTAAACCTACAAAGAGGATTTTAATGACTTCTTATTTTGACTACAAAATACTAAGAAGGGCATACTGTATTTAGATAAGGGAAAGCAAGGTCTTACAACACACACAGTGGGTGAGAATTAAACTCTAGTATGGAAAAGTCGACCAATGTGGGCAGATAAACTATACGCCACTAAGTAATGTCTAAAGTCAAAATTACATGTATTTTAAAATTCTAAGGAAAATATTTAAGCCTCAAGAGAGGGTATGGGATAGTAAAGTGAGAGAGAAATAGAGAGACATTAGAGAGAGAGAAAGTGAGAGACAGAAAGAGATAACTTACCACTGGGCGTAGATCGGGATGGTAAAGCACATAGCCGTTTCTGTTTACCATAAAGGAGTAGCCGTTGACGCCAAGCTGGAAGGTAGAGGAGTGTGAATACACACACACACACACACACACACACACACACACACACACACACACACACACACACACACACACACACACACACACACACACACACACACACACACACACACACACACACACACACACTCACACACTTATAATCTTTCTTCCTGTCAAAAGAAGTACACGACAGATACTACTGAATTATAAAGAAAATGTTGTATATCTTGTGACACTCTGTAGGTCACGACATACTCATCAGGTGATTCATCTCATTAAGGTAAAAGATTTTTATATGATGCTGAAGAAAAAAGAATCCTTTAACAAAGACAATTTCAGCACACATACACTAAATTTATTACATGCCCCTTCTTCCCTTGACATGACAAAAGAACCACCCCTCACGTCACACTACAGACGACACACACCCCTTCAATCACACCCTGTAGTATCCAGAATCTATGCTTGAAAGACCCAAACTACTACAGCGACTAAAAGACCCTGTTTGTTTACCTTGTAGGGGGGGACGAGCTTCTCAATCTCACGGATGGGGACGTCGGTACCTGCTACGCCCAACAAGTTCGCTGTTCTCACCTGCCAAGACAAACCAGAGAAGTTGTGGAGTGAGTCACAGATCAAGGTGGAAGGACGGGCTAATGCTGCAGATTTAATGAGTCTAATGAAAGACCTGAATGTCATAACATGATTCCCTTTTTCCCGATTAATGGGAAGTTGCAAGGAAGGTAAAAGTGCAAGACCAAAACATGCGGAATTGAAAGAAACTGCAGGAAAATAAGTTTAACAGACTTACTGTGTTATAAGGAGTAAATAATAGTAATAATAAACTGATGTTATCTTATAGGTGCTGAGTGGTCTCGGTGTTGTGTGAGACAGCCTTGTTAGGTGTGTTGACGGCAGGTGAAATAAACACAAATAAATTGCAAGCTAATCTAGAGAAACAACAGTGAACAAAATACATATATTGAAAAGAAAACGGCTTGCGGAGATGCAAAGAAACGCAAATCATGTTAAATCATGTTATGAGATGTGGGAGTGTTCCGCTAGGGGAGACATTTGAGCATTGAAGGAAGAAAAAGTCTCAAGGTGTGCAGTTTCACTTTATATGGAACCCTCGCTTGTATTCTTAAATCTTCACAAGTGACTTACATGAAAAATATATTAACAGTTTTGTTACTATGACACAAGTAAGTTTAAGCAAAATAGTAAAATAAATAACGTCTTTTAACTTTATAGATTACAATTTTGTAAACACGACAAAAAAGACTGGACCATTTTGAGCGACTCTGAGCAAGGAAGGATGAAGGTGACCGAGGCAGACTGACTGGGGGAGGGACGCATACCTAGTACAGTGGTCGGCGCCGTTTTGTGAGATGTGGCACCACTGTGTTTGTTTACATCTTATTAAAACTCCCAGAATGGCCCTAAGGAACCTCGCAATAGTAGCCAGACTAATGATGCCAGATAAACATTCCACAGAATTGCCACATGTCACAAAATGTATCAGCCACTTGTACCAGGTAGAAATGGAGCTGACTGTACCTTCAACCCCTTACCACCGCTCTCCCTCACTCAAAATGAACACACGTCAGTGATGATTACAACCCAAAATAACAAAAACAGATATAAATAATTAATTCTCACTTACGTACAGATAAAAATGATTGACCACTGATGCTCTACACGAAGAAAGCTAACCACATATTAGTTAGTAGTTGTTTGATTCAATAGAAAACTACATTACAAATATCCACAATAGTCTAGGCTTGAAGCAACTATGGAGAGGGGAGGAGGGGGGTCAAAAAATAAATAAACTAAACTCTACATTTGACATTGGCTTTGACTGTGACAACTAATTGGGTTTTAAAATCTACAGAAAGTCTAATTTGTTGGAAAGTGGGTGAGCGAGCGATGTTAGCTGCAAAGTAGTACTATCATTATTGACTTTCTAAAACCGGAAGAGGCCACACTATATAAACTTTGATCAAGTCTCTTATTTTATTATGGCTTTGCATTCACAAATTCTCAAATTCAAAATAATTAAAAAAAAATAATAATAATAATAATTAAATAAAATGCGCCAGCCTTCACAGCAAAGTTCTCATCTTCAGGGCTAGAACAAATTCTAACAGGCTACAGTTTCCTTGCAAATTTCTAGATATATAAGAATTTCTAGGACTTGCATAATAACACATGATTACTCTATGGGTAAAAGTCTAGACACAGTTGGATTAGTCAGTACCTCTCTTTTCCTCATCACCCAAACGGACTCATTGAGCAATATTCTCTCCGTGATGTTCTGTCGTGTCGGAAATAAAGGTTGCAAAAATTAGAGCTTGTGGGGAGGGGGAAGAAAGGGGGCTTCGCGGGCGTCTGAAATACATTGGATTAAACCGGACAAATTGAGGAAGAGATGAGTTGGTGTTTTTTTTTTTAGGGGTTGCAATATTATATAGGGGGAGAGACAGTTAGAGAGAGACAGACAGACAGAGAGAAAGACAGAAAAGGAGATGAGACACACAGAAACAGACAGAATAAAAGGGAGAGACAGACACAGAAACACAAAGAGACAGACAGAATGAGAGAGAGGCAAACAGACAGAGAGACAGACAGAATGAGAGGGAGGGGGGAGAGGGGGTGGTGGTTGTGGTGGTGGTCACGTGTGCCGTATATATATATATATATATATATATATATATATATATATATATATATATATATATATATATATATATATATATATATATATATATATATATATATATATATATATTTCTAATAAAACCAATATTGTAGAAGTCATTATCCAAAATAAAATACAAAATTTCGTGTGGGGAAAAATATAATAGAATAAGCATAGGAATAAAACATTTAGATATGCATGTAGGACGAATGTTTAGTGAGGGAAGCGGAATGTTTTGATGGAATGTTTGTTGTTCTGACTTAGTTGACTTGGTACTGTACCCACTAGAGCTTCCTCACAACATTCGTCTTACAGGTTGTCTGGTACAGCAAGTTATTATTTTTCTCTAGAGCTCAAAGACTGCAAGACACTGAGTTAAAAAATGCAGAGGATAACAGTTATTGAGATTATAATTATTATATGGCAAAACTGACAACAGAAATAATTACACAAATAGATGGAAAAGTCAATGAAAAACATTATATATATATATATATATATATATATATATATATATATATATATATATATATATATATATATATATATATATATATATATATATATATATATATATATATACTGTATATATATATATATTACAATAAACGTAATGGAAAATAAATATAAAAATTCATGCATTTAAAGAAAGGAATTAAATGCAACATTTTCATTGGCATAAACAAGTGGATGAATGCAGTCACCTTCTGTGTCACAAACAGTGAACGACTACAGGAAAATACGTGAATAATATATGAAGCCAAGAAGTAAAGTATGTGTGGCGTGTGTGTGACATGACGTGTGTGTGTGTGTGTCATGATGCGTGTGTGTCATGACGTGTGTGTGTGTCATGACGTGTGTGTGTGTCATGACGTGTGGTGTGTGTCATGATGTGTGTGTGTGTGTGCTGCGACGTGTGTGTGTGTGTGTGCGATGTGTGTGTCATGATGTGTGTGTCATGACGTGTGTGTGTGTCATGACGTGTGTGTGTGTCATGACGGGTGTGTGTGTGTGTGTGTCATGACGTGTGTGTGTCATGACGTGTGTGTGTCGATGTGTGTGTGTGACGTGTGTGTCATGACGGTGTGTGTCATGACGTGTGTGTGTCATGACGTGTGTGTCATGACGTGTGTGTGTCATGACGTGTGTGTGTGTGTCATGTGTGTGTGTGTCATGACGTGACGTGTGTGTGTGTCATGACGTGTGTGTCATGACGTGTGTGTGTGTGTGTGACGTGTGTGCTGCGACATGCGTGTGTCATGTGTGTGACGTGTGTATCGGTGTGTGTGTGTTATGACGTGTGTGTGTGTGTCATGACGTGTGTGGTGACGTGTGTGTGTGTCATGACGTGTGTGTGTCATGACGTGTGTGTGCGACGTGTGTGTGTGTGTGTGTGTGTGTGTGTGTGTGTGTGTGTGTGTGTGTGTGTGTGTGTGTGTGATGTGTTTGTGTCATGACGTGTGTGTGTGTGTCATGATGTGTGTGTGTGCATGACGTGTGTGTGTGTGTGTGTGTGTGTGTGTGTGTCATGTGTGTGTGTGTGTGTGTGTGTGTTATGACGTGTGTGTGTGTGTCATGTGTCATGACATGTGTGTGTCATGACGTGTGTGTGTGTGACGTGTGTGTGTGTGTGTGTGTGTGTGTGTGTGTGTCATGACGTGTGTGTGTGCTGACGTGTGTGTGTGTGTCATGACGTGTGTGTGTGTGTCATGACGTGTGTGTAGACGTGTGTGTGTGCATGACGTGTGTCATGACATGTGTGTGTCATGACGTGTGTGTGTGTGTCATGACGTGTGTGTGTGTGACGTGTGTGTAACGTGTGTACGTGTGTGGTGACATGTGTGTGACGTGTGTGTGTGTCATGACGTGTGTGTGTCATGACGTGTGTGAGTCATGACGTGTGTGTCATGACGTGTCATGACGTGCATCACAACGTACATGTGTCATGGTGTACTATGACGTGTGTGTGTGTGTGTGTGTGTGTGTGTGTGTGTGTGTGTGTGTGTGTGTGTGTGTGTATGTGTGTGTGTGTGTGTCCACAGTTCCACCTCTCAGGTGTTGTAGGCTTAGTTGTTCAGTAATGGATCACATGAAGATCAAACACCCCAACTTATATCACCTGATCATAAATAACTCAATAACGCTGCCTGAAAGGGGGAGTTAGGTTAGGTGAGGTTAATTTAAGTTAGATTAGATTAAAACCAGGTTATGTTAGATTAGCGTTACGGTGCTTAACCTTAAAGTGAAATAAACGAAGGTATCTAATCTTCAGGTGATCTCATTAGGGAATTCAAGGGGGGGGGGTCGAAGGGGAGGGAGGGGGGATTTAGGGGGAGATAGATGCAGATGATACATGCCCTTCTCTTATCCTCCCTTAATATATTACTAAATGAACCTCACAATAACATGATAAGAAATATGAACTACAAGGTAGACCATCGACTAGTTCCCTTTATACTAATAACAATCAACAAAACATCTCTACCTTATTCTTCAAACACCAAAAATATAATAGTTAAGGAACAGAAAATCGATACTATACTCAATATTTACCGTGAGAAGAACAAGGTAGATAACAATGTAGGTATTGTTAATTAAGGCAGGTGAACAGGGTCTTTCATGTTAATTACCTTGTAGTTCTAATGACTGTAAAGGGACAATGGGACTAGTTGTCAAAAGGTTAATGGCGGAGAGCTGACCTAAATAGAACTATGTGTATTGGTTGAGGTGTTGTATCGCCATGTACAGTGCTGTAGTGTATTTATGTTTGTGTATGTATAGTGTGAAGACTGTGTAGTGTTGTATGTGTGTATTGTGTGTGTGCGTGTGTGTGTGTGTGTGTGTGTGTGTGTGTGTGTGTGTGTGTGTGTGTGTGTGTGTGTGTGTGCGTGTGTGTGTGTGTGTGTGTGTGTGTGTGTGTGTGTGTGTGTGTGTGTGTGTGTGTGTGCGTGTGTGTGTGTGTGTGTGTGAGTACGTGTGTGTGTGTGTGTATGTGTGTGTCTACGTGTGTGTGTGTGTGGGAGGATCAGCACAAGATGCAGAAATTTTCAATTCCACTAAAACATTTTATGGGCCAATCACTCATGGAGCAGCCCCCCCTCCGCTCATCCGACGGTAACTCACTAATTAAAGACGATGAAGACCTCCTTCAGCGCTGGAAAGAGCACTACCATTCATTGCTCAACCGAAATACCAATGTGGATGTCTTGACTACCCAACAGATCCCTCAGCATCCAGAGCTGAGCCACCTCAGCTACTGCCATCAAACAGATGAAAAATAACAAAGCCTCAGAGCTTGATGAAATCCCGTTCGAGGTGTATAAAGCAAGAGGACCTCTGCTTACCAGCCGTCTCCACTCTCTCAAGGAGAATATTTGGGAAGAGGAGGAAATCCCCCAAGCTCTTACAGACGCCTCCATCGTCAATATTTATAAGAACAAGGGAGACCGGTCAGACTGCGGCAACTACCGCGGGATCTCTCTGTCCGTAGCTGGCAAAGATTATCGCCCGAGTCCTCCTAAACAAACTTCTTCCTGAGGCGAGAAACTTCCTCCCAGAATTTCAATGTGGCTTTAGACCACCACGTGGCACCACTGACAAGATCTTTGCTGCCCGTCAGATACAAGAAAAGTGCAGAGAACAGCATCGTGACCTGTACATGGCTTTCATCGACCTACCCAAGGCCTTCGACTCGGTCAACAGGGAAGCCCTCTGGTGGACCTTCAACCGGTTTGGCTGCCCACCAAAATTCATCGCCATTGTGAGGCAACTCCACGGGGATTAAACAAGGGTGTGTACTGGCACCAACTCTCTTTTCCTTTTTCTTGGCTGCCTTCCTTATTCGTGCCAGTGCCAATTTAGCCGGTGGGGTGGACAGCGAGTACCGGATGAAGGATCTTTTTAATATAAGACGACTCCAGGCAGGGACAAAGGTGTCGACAGCTTCCATTACTGAGCTTCTTCAGTATGCATACGACCTCACCCTTGTCAGTCACACTGAACGCGACCTACAGGAGATCTTGAACACCTACGCGGATGCCTATGCAAACTTCGGCCTTGAGGTGAATGTACGTAAGACTTAGATTCTCATTCATCCTGCCCCTGGTTCAGTCACACCTCCGCCATTCACCCAGCTTAACGGTACTACCCTCTCTAATGTTACCCACTTTCGGTATCTCGGCTCCCACCTGTCCACCACCGCTGACATCGATGAAGAGATTCAGCATCGGATCAAATGTGCATCTCAAGTCTTTGGCAGACTCCGAAACCGCGTCTTCAGCTGTAGGGAGCTGAAATTATCTACAAAGTTAGACGTATATCGAGCAGTGGTCCTCCCCATCCTGCTATATGACAGCGAGACATGGGTCACATACAGGAGGCACCTCAAGGTACTTGAAAACTTTCACCAACGTAGTCTACATTCCATCCTCCGAGTTCGCTGGGAAGACAAGAGAACAAATGCCAGTATTCTTGCTTACACCAACTGTAGGAGCAGCGAGGCTACCGTTATCCATGAACAACTACGCTGGACTGGCCATGTTACCCGCATGAACAACAGTAGACTGCCAAAGCAACTACTTTACAGTCACCTAACGAATAGTAAACGTAACACTGGCGGACAACTGGAAAGGTATAAGGATAGTCTTAAGACAAACCTGAAAAAGTGCCAAATCGACCCCCTCACCTGGGAGACGATTACTCCACACCGTAACAATTGGAGGAGCACCACACAAGAAGAGGTCAATACTTTCGAGTTAGCCCGACTGCATAACGAGGCAGACAAGCGCCAACGCCGAAAAGACGCTGCTGCCGCCTCTCCAGCACTAGATGTAGCCCCCCACATGTGCAACATCTGTGATCGACCCTGCCGGTCCTGTATCGGTCTCTTTAGTCACCTCAGAACTCATCAATGAAGGTGACATCCGCAATAACTCATATAATTGTATCATAGCTGGATGATCGTCATACTCGATCTCGAGTGACAGCAACGTAGTAGTAGTAGTGAAACACCCTCACTTAACCCCAGCAGAAAGATCACTCCTTGCACTACCACCGAGACTGGGAGGAATGGGATTGACCAATCCAGAGGAGATTGCTGCCACCGAACATCAAAACTCAGTTAAGCTCACGGCAGCCCTCACGGGCCACATAATAGTTCAGAATGCAACAGGGTAGGTGGATACCAGTGAAGTAAACAAGATTCGAAGGTCCATTACGAAAGAACGACAGCATGGCCAAAGTGATAAGTTGCAGCAACTGTTGCTGCAAGTACCAGAGAATTTGAAAAAAAGTAGCTATAGCGCAGGAGGTGGGCGCCTCGAACTGGTTAACTACGTTACCGATAAGGGCAAATGGTTTCAGTCTCAATAAACAAGAATTTACAGAGGCCAATGCTCTAAGGTACGGTAGGCCAGTAGAAGGTCGGCCCTCCCAATGCGTGTGTGGCTCTTCCTATGACGTCGATCACGCCATGGTGTGCAAGAAAGGGGGCTTCATATGCATGAGGCATGACGAAGTAAGGGATCTTACAGCAAATATGTTGAAGGAAATCTGCCGTGATGTCAGGGTAGAACCCACCCCCCTTCCATTGAACAGTGAGAATTTCCAAAATAGGACTTCAAACACATCCAACGAAGCCTGTGTTGACGTCAGTGCTCGAGGATTCTGGACGCGGGGACAGCGAGCCTTCTTCGACGTCAGGATTTTTGATCCCATGGCCGCATGTCACCGCAACTTAGCTCTCGATCCTGCATACAGCAGGAACGAGAACGACAAGATAAGGGCATAGGGGAAAGAATTCAGAACGTTGATCAAGGCAGCTTCACTCCTCTAGTATTCACAACCTCTGGTGGGATGGATCCAAGTGCAAGATGCTTCTACGCCAGACTCGCGGAGGTGCTATCCGAACAGAAGCAGCAGCCCAGAAGTTATGTTACAGCCTGGATGAGATGTCGACTGTCCTTCTCTCTCCTTAGGTCTGCTTTGCTCTGCCTCAGGGGAACGAGACCATCGGCCCCAAAGGCGACAACAACTGACTATGAGGCAACAGTCACTGAATGCCGTATAGATCTGCGGCTCAACTAACTCAACACAGCTAGGGCAGCTACTTATGTATTAGGATATTTAATTTTAAGGTAATAAAATGGCGGCGAAAGTGTGGCTATTAGGGGAGGATGGAGGCCAGAGTATGTGTGTCTGTGTGTGTGTGTAGTGGGTCGCTCTGCAAACCTCAAGGGACAGTAGATCTTACACACACCTGCTTTATAATAATAATAATGATAATAATAATAATAATAATAATAATAATAATAATAATAATAATAATAATAATAATAATAATAATAATAATAATAATAATAATAATAATAATAATCTGATCATCATATTTATCTTTCAAAACTTTTGCGGAAAAATCTGAATTATAATAAAAAATAGATTTCATTAATCTCCTTAAATAAATAAAATAAGATTATCTACTCAAAATACCAAGTCACTTATTAGTAAATTATAATATATTCTGAACTAAAAATAAATGAACATGTTATTATTTACTCAAAATTATTTATGAATGAAAAATTAAAACACTAAATCATATAAAATAATGAATGAAGTTTGAAATTTTCAGTGATAAATGTGTCGTAACTTTTCCTTACCGCATGTTCGAGCTGCGTCTTCTGTTCATGACGACAGCAGTATATATAATTATCAATATGATATATGATAATAATACAAGTTTAAAATGACTTATAGGAACATGTGGTAAGGATAAGATCGAGGAATGAGTCTTGGCAGAAGTTAAGTTATATTATGGATAACTTTCACTGAGTTGGTCAGGTTGTGTGTGTGGCAGTGCTTTATGTGTATATTTGTTGTTGTCTAGTGTAACACCTGTCAGGAGTTAATTATCAAACACCTGTAGACAACAACTACACTTTTAATCTTTACTTTGATTAAAAAATATATTCCATAGCTGCGTCAGGTAGCTCTATGAATACCAATCCTAGACTGACTGACTGACTGACTGAAAGTAAGTTTTGGTGATTGAGTGGTGACACAGCATATTTCCTGGTGTTTATCTATTTTTATCTATTAATTCATATCTGAGTGTTGAGTCATGCACTTGTCTGACATACTTACAGAAGTCTTCTTGCGGTCAAACACAGGTACAGAGACAGATGTCATGAGCCTGTAACCTTCCCTCAGCCCAGGTGCTCCTCGGCGACCCTGTACACAGGTGAGATAATAAGATACACACATACATAGACGCACACACCTGCACAGTCATCAACACAACAGTCCCATTACACCTTTACACCCCTGAGACTGTGAACAGCTGAACGAGTCCCCGAACCGCTGAACGAGTCCCCTAACCGTTGAACGAGTCCCCGAACTGCAGAACGAGTCCCCGAACCGCTGAACGAGTCTCTGAACCGCTGAACGAGTCCCCGAACTGCAGAACAAGTACCCGAACTGCAGAACGAGTTCCCGAACCGCTGAACGATTCCCCAAAATGCTGAACGAGTCCTCCGAACCGCTGGTTCACTTGGGCCAAACAGTGTCGAGCAGGGGTGTAAAGGAACTTTTGTCCGTGATTGTACACAGTGCATAAAATCACATATATGGGAGATACAGAATTACCTATATTAAGCTACATGAATTCTACAGGTCTAGGTACAGGCAGAGTCAAATTTAGATACTGTACTTTTTAGGTAAAGAAAATTATTATTATTTTTTCCTTCAAGGTTAAGCCTACTGTACTGCTGCTTCTTACTTATTCTTTAATACAAAATTTTAAAAATACTGTAATGTCATCCAAAAAATAAGACAAAAATATCATTCCAATTATTAAATTTTGTGTTAGTATCTTAAAGGAAAATGAAGACTTTTAGAAGACATACAAAATAAATATCATGTCTAAAAAAATTAATAAGTAAAAAAAATCCCAAAACACATACAGTTAGCAGCTGCTTGTGATACAGCGGAAAATACAAAAGTTACAGTTAATACTTTGTAACCTGTGGTGGCATTACAGTTGACCGAATACAGTGCGCTATATACAGTACAGAAATATACGTGAAACACCTTCTACATAATTCTTGCTAGCGTATATTATTACAGCGTTAAATCATACAGGTGTGTGTATTTCTATTTAACAAAATCAGGCGGTGAATTCAAGTTTTTCGATTCAACTTTTCGGGCTGGATGTAGCAGCCAGAGAACCCGCCAATTCCTGAGCCGGTCCTACCATTCGTATGTCCTCACGCCATCGCTTCAGCTTCTCTTCTTCTCTATACAAACGCTCGACCAACTTCTTTAATTTGTAGAATTTTGTTCTCAGCGGCACATTGACCGTCACGTCTCTCTTTGTACGTCCAGATATATTCCTATACAACCCAGCCTGAACACCGCCCTCCTCCTCCTCCTCCTCCAGCAGTGTGTCTGGCTCAAGTTCCAGGTAGTCTGCATCTCTTCTCATGCGTTCTCGCTGTGGTAGTTATTGGTAGTAGTGGTAGTAGTAGTGGTTGTAGTGGTAGTGGTTGGTGGTAGTGGTCGTGGAAGGATCAGAAGAGTGCAAGTCATGCAATAAAGAAATTAATATTTTTTTTTGTGCTGGAAAAAAATATAAAACCAGAAAAAGAAAAATGAATTCACGAACTCCAAAAATTTTTGGTCGTCGTTTTTCATGCACGATACAAAAAAAAAGTAGTATATAAAAAATCATGCCTCTGTAATGAAAAAAAAAATCATCAAAAATTTCAAAAAAAATAATCCAAAGTACAAAACAATGGTCTACCAATATATAAAATAACTGGTAGTAAATATATATAAAAAGATAAAAAAAAGATACAAAGATAATAAAAAGAAAATGGATCAAATAAAAACATTGAAGAAAAAAATAAAGAGTAGGAACTTGAGACGAGAAAAGGTTAAGATCAAGAATTGTGGAAAAAAATTCGATTCAAATACAGACATGGAAAGCTTTCATAGCGGTGTCCTGTGGTGGGTGAGTGAGCTGTGTGTACTGAGGCCATCTTGTCAAGGTTGGCTGTCACTCATCTAATAGATATGTGATTGCTGGGATTATATATAAATTTCTCTCTATATTATAAGACAAACAAATATATATTGCAGATCCTAGTAACTCAAGATTTATGGGGAATTTGTGAATGATAAATTATATTTCTTTATCGTAAAGTTCAAAATAATTACCCATATTTTACGAATATTTTACCCAAATTCTATGAGCTTTTTTTTACGAACATTTATGGAAATTTTACGAACATTTGCAAAACCTTATGAAAATTTATTAAGATATTACTACTAACATTTTTCAACTTATTAGAAACATTTACCTAATTCTTACCTAAACATTTACCAGGTCTTAATATTTACAAAGAACCTAAGAACGTTGACCACGATTTACGATCATTTACCAGAGATTTTTTTTTATAATTTTCCAGATAATTTTTTAGTATTTTCCAGAAATTTTTGAGTATTTTCCAGAAAATTTTGAGCACCTCAAAATTATACATCCAGAAGACTCATTCATAACTTCAAGAATCATTACTGTCCTGAAATCCAAAACAAGAAAGTTACAGTGTTGTAATATATTCATTTCAGAACTGTTGAAACCTGAAGTATATTTTTTTAACTTTTTAGAACTAATGAAGTAGTATATATATTTTTTTCTTTTAATTATTAGAACTGGTGAATATATTTTTAAGTTATTTAGAATTGTAAGAATAATTTTGCTTGGTCAGAGAAGAAATTTATATTTTGTATTATTAAATTATTCAAAATTAAGTATACATTCAAATGTTTCAGAATTCACTTGATTTTTTTTTAAACTACCAGAACTAAATCATACTATTAAATAATTCAGATATTTTCAAGTACATTTTATCATGAATCAGATCTTTTAAAACTACAGTACAGTAGTTTTGGCTGAATGTGATGACCAACCCAAACGAAATGATGGCCAGGCATTGGTAAGGAGATAGACCAAAATAGTACAGTAAATGTATGTAGTAGTAGTAGTAGTAGTAGTACTAGTTGTATCATTACACAGGTATGATGACCCTGATTATAGGTGCACACACACACTCCTGAGGTATAACTTACGATCATTAAAGTCCATTTTCCCTTATGGTATATACGACGGTAGTCTGTCTAGGAGGGTAAAGAAATTTATCAAGGTCATTACTGTTGTGTGGAACGGATGTGAGAGAGGAGAGAGAAAAAGAGAGAGAGAGAGAGAGAGAGAGAGAGAGAGAGAAGAAAAACATGTATATTAACAACTTGGGATAATGACCATGTATAAGTCTAATGACAAACATATATATTAAATTAAAAAAATAATGTTATTCTAGTCTTATGTAATTATAAAGAACAGAATATTGTTACCACTTGGAATCATATTAAACTATTATTATAAGTCTTGTTTTCTTAAGTAGCTTACTTTAATGATGCAATGGAAGGAAAAAGATTCAAGTTTGAGAAATAATGTTCTTGCTTTCCAGATCAGAAATGGATATTGGAATATAGATGGAATTAATAATAATAATAATAATAATAATAATAATAATAATAATAATAATAATAATAATAATAATAATAATAATAATAACAATATTATTATCATTATTATTATTATTATTATTATTATTATTATTATTATTATTATTATTATTATTATTATTATTATTATTATTATTATAATTATTATTAATATGACTCAAATTTAACTCAAAATACATATATATTCCAAAATTAAAATCCTACGCCTTTATATAATTATCTTTCGTTCACCAACTCACGTGAACTACAAACACTCACAGGAATTCATCTCGGGGCCAAAAAAAATAAATAAAAAAGATTCAATTGCCTAAACGTAATGAGAAATAATGAGAAATAATACTCTTGGGAGCATAATATGATTCCAGTGTTGTGATTAAAAAGAAGAAAATCACAAGAGTAGGGAAGACAAGGAGACTAATACAGGTATATATATTGTATCAAGGTGTTGGTATAGTCCATAGTGCAGTAGATAAATTTACCCAATAGAGAAACAAGTACAGATTATTTAGACTCGAATATATATAAATAGAGAGAAAAAGAGAGAGATTAGAAAACATACTAAGAGAGACAGAGAGAGAGACAGACAGACAGACAGACAGAGAGGACAATACTAGACATACTAACCCTGATTGATCTCGCTCTCTCTGCCTTAATACGGGCAATGTCCAGGTTGGAGAGTCCAAACTTTCCGTATTTTAGGTATTTCTCAAGTTCCACGGGATCGTCTAGATGGCGAGGGTGAAAGTGTCCGGTATCTTTGTTATTTACCAGTGTCTTAAGTTTTCTCCAGAGTTTAGTGCGGTCCATCTGCCGTTTTCTTTCACGAACTTCCCACAGCCACTCGGTTTGTTTTGGGTCCTGATGTTTGTGTGTATATTTGTCCACAACATTGATAATAATAACAACAACAACAGCCATTGGGCCAGATTTGGATTCAGAAATTCATAGTGATTTATTTTTTTTTTTTTTTAGAGAAGAATATTTCGGAAAATCACAATATTATATGTATTTTTTTTAAACGTAATTAATCCATATCAATTAATTAATAAATCACGAGATAATAGATTAATATAGATTTTTATTTACATTATTATTTATTTATTTTGGGGGGAAGGGCCCAGGAATTATTTTGATATAAATTATAGATCACATTTTTTTGTGTGTGTGTTGTTGGGTTTCAAGCAGGATGGCACCAATTAGATTAGTTTCCAGGTAGGGGGAGTTAATTGCAGGTGAGGTGAGTTGACCAGGTGAGACACAGCGTTCACAGCAGCGTGGAATAATAATACAAAAAAAAAACAGAAAAAACAGGTATTAGTTAGTTGGTGGAGGTGTTGGTGGTGATGGTGGTGGTGGTGGTGGTGATGTTGGTGATGTTGGTGATAATGATGATGATGGTGAAGATAGTGGGGAGATGGTGACGGTGTTGTTGGTTGCAAAAGTGTATACGATGTTGTTTCAGGTAATATAATTAGTTTAAGGTAACACCTGTATGCTTTTACCCCTACCTGTAAATTACTGTACCTGTACTTTACAATTTAACCTGTACTGGTTCTGTAAATTGTAAATGGTTTGTAAATATGGTTCTGTGTAAAGAATAATTTTGTAATGAAGTTTTGATCTGATTTGCTATGGAAGATTATGAAGAATATAGATGACTGAATATATAAATGTTGCTGGTAACATAAGAGGAAAATTATAATTATACACTATATAATTTATGTATGATACTAACATACAACAAACACACACACACACACACACACACGCACACACATATGATGATTTATTTTGACGGGAAATTCAAGCCTAAAATTCTATTACAAAAAACAAAAGAATAACAGTCTCTTTTTATGTACGTGGAGTTTGATTCATCTATTAATTTTTAGGACAAACAAAACCAATTAGTGTTTCAAAATGCAAAATAAAAAGGGAAACAAATAGAATTAATAAAAATGATTCAAATTGTATATAAAAAAATGCAAAATGTACACATTCCAACCTCACAAGACTAAACAGAATCCAAACGCATTTAATATTTTATAATTACATTTTATTAACTTATAACCAGTGAAAAATCGTGAATAAATAATGAAAAGTGAAAAAAAATAACAAAAGCTGGTAACAAGAAATCAAGATTGAAAAAGATCGAAGTGTATAATAATAATAATAATTATTAATAATAATAATAATAATAATAATAATAATAATAAACAAGGTTGGATATCTGTTTGTCCTGATTAGTTGAGTAAACAGATGATGGTAGTGGTGGTGGTAGCGGTGGTAATGGTAACTCACATAAGCCACCACCACCACGTTTGGGCTACCTACTGGAAAGGCCTTGTCGGCTCTAGCGGCTACTCTATACTCTCGCAATATATCCCACTCGTCCTAGAGGGGAAAGACGGTGTACACGAGGTTAAAAACTAAAATAACTTAACACGCCTCCGCCTCTAACAATGGCTGGCTTGTCTTGACTTTGGAGGATTATAAAAAACAAAATAAAAAAAGCAATATATTTTTTTTTGGGGGGAGGGGAGGTGGAAGTGGTGGGGATTTCTAAAGATTAAAAGCCATGATTTTGCGGATGGTCAAGGAGAAGTGGGTGTGTTATGTGGGTGTATTATGTGGGTGTCTTTGTTATGTGGGTGTTATGTGGGTGTATTATGTGGGTGTGTGTTAAGTGGGTGTATTATGTGGGTGTCTTTGTTATGTAGGTGTGTGTTAAGTGGGTGTATTATGTGGGTGTCTTTGTTATGTGGGTGTGTTATGTGGGTGTATTATGTGGGTGTCTTTGTTATGTGGTGTGTCCTTATTATGTGAGTGTGGTATGTGGGTGTGTTAATGTGAGTGTGTCATGTGGGTGTGTTATGTGGGTGTCCTTGTTATGTGGGTGTCTTTGTTCTGTGGGTGTCTTTGTTATGTGGGTGTCCTTGTTATGTGGGTGTCTTTGTTCTGTGGGTGTCTTTGTTCTGTGGGTGTCTTTGTTCTGTGGGTGTCTTTGTTCTGTGGGTGTCTTTGTTCCGTTGCCACTGTTAAAGCCTTCATATCTTCCTGTAGTTGAGGAATAAGAATTCTTTGTATTCTTCCTGTAGTTTTGGGTAGATAAGCTTTGTGTAGGACGAAGCATTGCTACAAAGGTCTAAAAAGGTTACTAGCATAAGCCTTTGCTGGACATGATGGAAGGAGCTGTGATATGACGGCCAAAACTAAGAGATAATGTGACCAACTGTTTCTCTTTCTCTTTCGTGGACAACATTAAGCAATTTATTCAACTACTTCTGTAGATGAAACCTGATTTTTTTTTTCATGTTTTATTATACTAATGTTTGAAAGATTTAACTCATAATTGTAGAAATTAATCTTATAAAGTATCATATGAGGTGGTAATGATAACTCACCTGAGGGTAATTAACCAATTAATTTACCTGTACTTTATACCTTAAACTGTCGCTACTTCTCTAACTCATTAAGGGGTAAGTCTAAAAGCTCTACACGTTTATATGAACAAGAAAGTATATATATTTTTCATTGGACAATATGTAAATACCGAACCAGTTTGAGAGAAAGTTTAAAATCAAAATGGAGTCAAAGTTTATGAATGACTCGACCTGAAAATATTATTCATAAAAAATGCAATAATTTCAAGTAGCAATTTGTTTTGTTTTTTTCTCTTAAGATACAGTTGTGACGAGGTACCGAAGGATGTGTCAGTCGGGATGTGTCAGTCGGGGGTCGGGCGTTTGGTCGGTACTATGAAAATGATATACTGAATAAGTGTAAAATCATAGTCTCTGCTCGTGGCTCGCTTCAAATTCTCGTTTTCTGTTTCTTTGTTTTGTGTGGGAAAGAAAATGGTAATATACTGACCAAATAATAACGAACTAAGACAATCATTAAAAAATAGGAAAATAATTAAGGAAAATTTAAGATTACCAAACATAGTTGTTTTTTCTATATTGTAGTGCCAATTACCTAGTCAATTAGGTATATAAAATGACCTGTATTCTATAAAAAAAACATTTAAACAAAAAAATAATTGGATGATTTTTCTGAAAGTAAATAGCAATTAGTGCAAAACATTAGAACATTATATAAGACAAATCATTATCAATATCACGTTTCATCATAAACTGACTAAATCAATGGAAGTATGTCAACCAAAGGACGATATTACCTGAAATATTATCATTATTACCTTTAAAATGTAATCTATTTTGTTTTTCTATCAATAAGCTACAGTTCTGATATACTCGTAATTAATACACTAGCTGATTTAACTACCAAAGAGGATACCAAACAAACACACTCACGCTACTAACAACAATTACAACATCAAAAATGACCATACACGTTACTGATTATTATTAGCTTCTTAATTATAGAGGAATATATAATTAGCTAAGAATACAAAGCATCTATCAATGCCTTCCCGGAATACATAGGATAAGCGACCATTTTACAGCATCGACGAAAAATACAAAATATGATGTAAAAAGAAAGAATATTCTGAATTATAAAGATTACAGTAGTCACTCAAAAAATTATCTATACTAAATTGTATTGAAAAAAAATATGACACAACGGATGAAGGATTTTGACAACCCTACCGAGACAACAGGAGTCACAGTGTTCATTCTGAAATTCATCGATCAACCCCAAGTACAGATAGTTTTTTGGAATGACTGTATTGTATGGCGGGTTTAGTTAATTTTGTAATCTACTAAAATAATATCAATCAATTCATAATACAGTACAGCATTATTCATAACATTATCTACTGTAATTGTCTCTCAGTTTCCTTACCAGAACATAACCATGCATTGTATTCTGTGTTGAGGATAAAGAAAATTGGATATTAAAAATCTGGAGATAAAAAAATATAAAATTTATTTCATTTTTTACTGTAAAATACTAAAAAATAAAACATTTTAAATTGCAGCTTTGAAAAAAAATAAGACTATTAAATTATCTCTAAAATAAAAACTATGGAAATAAAATCACGAGTGTGACAGAACCCAAATGGATCAACAGAACCCAAGTGGATCAACAGAACCCAAGTATATCAACAGAACTCAAGTGGATCAACAGAACTTAAGTGTATCGACAGAACTCAAGTGGATCAACAGAACCCAAGTGGATCAACAGAACCCAAGTGTATCAACAGAACCCAAGTGGATCAACAGAACCCAAGTGGATCAACAGAACCCAAGTGGATCAACAGAACCCGATCTACTAGAACCTCCTTCCCTTATCTATAGCTAGAACCCCATCCTCCAATACCCCTCAGTATCCCTCAAATACCCATCAGTATCCCTCAAATACCCCAGTAACCCTCAAATACCCCCTGTACCCCTTAAATACCCCCTGTACCCTTAAATACCCCAGGTACCCTCAAATACCCCAGGTACCTCTTAACACCATTTTCACCTCAACACCCCAAGCACTCCTCAATAACCCCAGGCACCTCAATACCTCAGATCCCTTGAATACCCCTCAGTACCCTCAACAACCCCAGCATCTCAATAACTCCCCAGAACCTCTAACACCTCTGAAAATTCAACAACCCCAGTAACTCTCAAATACCCCTCTATTAATCCTCAACACCTCATTGCCCTCAACTCTCAGAACTCTTAAATACCTCTGCACTCCTCTCAGTCAACCTCGACACTCACTACTATCATAAACTCTAACTGAAGATGATTCATTCATCTAAAGATGAAATGAACTTTTATTTATCTGTGGTTAACTTGCACAGTAAAATGAGAGATGAGGATTTTTTACAGGAAAAGGGCCTGTTCACAACACCTCTCAAAAACAACACCCCATAATGGTGGAATTTTCCCTCACACCTCTTAAAATGGTTCCCACACCCTCTAAAGTTAATTCCCTACCTCTCAAACAACCCACCTCCTCAAAAGGATCCTGATCTCCAAAACTCAAACCTCTAAAAAAATAGCACTAGAATAACCCCACACAAAAATTTCACCTCCCACCGCCTCCAAAAAAAGAATCACATCAATCCAAACTCCTCACCTGAACTTCCTTCTCCTCCCCCTAATCCTTCAAAACCGGCGAGGAATACAATACTGTACACCCGGTGGAGTGGCAATGAACAGAGGAAGAAGGAACATAAGAGGAAGAAGGAACAGTTAATTTAAAGGTCTCTTACCGCAATATCGGCGTACACTCCCGTCCACCTGTGAGGATGATTGGACTGGTACATCACCATCGGCCGAGCCATCACAGGTATGTACTTGAGCACCTGTTCTCTTACCTCTGCTAAGGTCGTCACGTGCACAAAGTAACCTGTAACAGATCACCAGGATGTGTGGTGACTGTGGGAGTGTTCAGGGATGTGTGGTGACAGTGTTAAGGGATGTGTGGTGACAGTGTTAAGGGATGTGTGGTGACAGTTCAGTCAGGGATGTGTGGTGCAGTGTTAAGGCATGTGTGACAGTGTTAAGGCATGTGGTGACAGTCCAGTGTTAAGGGATGTGGTGGGATGTGGTGACAGTGTTAAGGGATGTGGTGACAGTCCAGTGTTGAGGGATGTGTGGTGACAGTGTTAAGGGATGTGTGGTGACAGTCCAGTGTTGAGGGATGTGTGTGACAGTGTTAAGGGATGTGTGGTGACAGTCCAGTGTTAAGGGATGTGTGGTGACAGTGTTAAGGGATGTGTGGTGACAGTCCAGTGTTGAGGATGTGTGGTGACAGTGTTAAGGGATGTGTAGTGACAGTCCAGTGTTGAGGGATGTGGTGACAGTGTTAAGGGATGTGTGGTGACAGTCCAGTGTTGAGACAGTCCATGTGTGGTGACAGTCCAGTGTTAAGGGATGTGTGGTGACAGTCCAGTGTTAAGGGTGTGTGACAGTCCAGTGTTAAGGGATGTGTGGTGACAGTCCAGTGTTAAGGGATGTGGTGACAGTCCAGTGTTAAGGGATGTGTGGTGACAGTCCAGTGTTAAAGGGATGTGGTGACAGTCCAGTGTTAAGGGATGTGTGGTGACAGTCCAGTGTTAAGGGATGTGTGGTGACAGTCCAGTGTTAAGGGATGTGTGGTGACAGTCCAGTGTTAGGGATGTGTGGTGACAGTCCAGTGTTAAGGGATGTGTGTGACAGTCCAGTGTTAAGGGATGTGTGGTGACAGTCCAGTGTTTGTGTGGTGACAGTCCAGTGTTAAGGGATGTGTGGTGACAGTCCAGTGTTAAGGGATGTGGTGACAGTGTTAGGGAGAGTGTGATGTGGTGACAGTCCAGTGTTAAGGGATGTGTGGTGACAGTCCAGTGTTAAGGGATGACAGTCCAGTGTTAAG